TACCGCCCTCTTTCCCCTCATTCCCCTCCTTATCTCCCTTCTCCAAATCCCCGCCTTTCAAATTCCCCTCCCCACCCCCATTGCCAGCAGTCAACTCCATCACCACCTTGCCCACCCCATCCACCACTCCAAAAAGCCCCCAAACAAGAAGAAACGGCCAGAACAGTGTCAGAATAAACCCTACTGGCCAACTGACAAACCACATGACGTGCCCCCTTTTTCTTTTGTTCTCGGGAAATAGAGTGAGAAATTGTCGATGCCCCATCCGGAGCATGCAGAGGGTGATAATACCCTGGAAGACGCCCCAGACGATGAGGAGGATTTGCCACCAGACTATGCGGGTGTGGGTGTCTTCTTTTAGGAGGAGGCCTGACATGTGACTTGTGGGTTGATGGGTGGTGATGTGGAAAGAAACGGTTTTGGCGAAGGGGTAGATGAGAGATAATTTAAGTGAAAAGTTAAAATAAAAAAACCATAGAAAACCCCGGACATGCAAGATAGGATAGAGAAGGTAAAATAACAGGCGTTGGGGTTGTTCAGGAAACTGGACGTTGGAAACCGAAACTGAAGAGGTAGCTATCAAGCGGGATCTACTTGGTGCTGTGTCAGGTTTGACTGCGCCGCAGGTAGCGAGCCAATGCCACAACGACATCCCCTGTTGCTTAGGTCTGTTGTGTCTGTTGTTGGTGGGCTTGGCGAGGCCCCAAGGCAACCGTTGGCGCTGTATTTACATGATGGTTCACCAGCTGACAAGAAGTTGAGCACCAGCTACGGGTATCCGAAAAAAGTAAAGGAACCGTCTTGAAAGGTCAAGTGTCGTAGGCCTCGGCAAGGACGACAGAAAGAACCACAATATATCGAGAGCCTAAGATGTATCCTGACAGACCCAGCATCCGGCATCATGGGCGATGACATGCTTGAAGTCAGAACCTGCCGTAGAAACACTGTCTCCAATACTAGCCCACACGCCCGTGTCATAAAGTCGGCACACTCCAGAAAGCTTGTCCCAGACTGAGCTGTAGCAACCCGTAGCGCTAGCACAAGCCGCAGCACATCTCGCAGCTGTAGTTTCTGTCGAGGTGACTGGCCTGCTTCCAGCTGGCACCGGGAACCCCCGGATTCCACATGCTAGGGCATCGACATCCGGATTCGAAGCTGCCGAGCAAACTCTGGACGGGCGGTTTCTTTGAATGTAGAGGTTCAGCTTGTCTGAGGCACCACAAGCTTGTCCTCCATTCCCAACACAGGGCTGGTTGCAACGGTCGGTGATGATCTCGGACGACAGGGAGTTACCAGTCCAACATTCCCGTCCTGAAGAGTCCCTTGTCAGTTGGTTTCGGTTAACCCTGGAGAAAAGACCTACCAAACTCGACCCCAAAATACTTCCAATTCCCACTCTCAGCTCTCTCAGCACATTTCTCCAGCGTCATATCCGCAGCGCTATTCGGTCCGTTGGCCAAAGTCCTCGTCCCATTAACCCGATCACGGTAGCTGTTCCTCCGTCAGCCCCCATCCTGCCACACAAGAAACACACAAAACTCACCACCCAAGATAACCATACCCCCCAACCGGATCCCCATCCCCCCTAGCCCCATCCCTCTCATAAACCGTCAAATGCCCCTCCCCACCACAAAACCACCTCCCGTCCCCCTCGCAAACCCTCCCGCACCTCCTCCCAAACGTCTTGTAGCTATTGTCAATCGTCGCACCACAAAAGCACTCCCTCCCATACTCCACACCCACCCACCTCGCCTCAGCCCCGCACATCCCCGCACATTTCGTAGGCGTCATATCGTTACTCGCACCAGCAAACCGTCTAAGAACACGATCAGGTGTGAAATCGGCGAAACACCCCCACCAGTGGAAACCCTGGACGGGTTCGATGCCAGGGTTTTGAACAGTGGGGGGGTCGGTGTGCTCGTAGAACGCAGCGCGGGCCGAGCCGCCGCATGTCACGCCTGGTTCGTCGCGGCAAAGGCGCCAGCAGTCGCCTTCAGTGGCTTCCCATTCGGATAGCTGGGGGATGTACCCCGTGGTGGTGTTGATTGTTATCGAGGGGGCGCAGCTGGGGTGGGTAGGTTGTCAGAGATACCTAGGCGTAGGTAGTAGGCAATGCAGGTGTAAGGGGGATGGCGGTTGGTAAGAGAGGGGTTCGGTCAGGGGGTTGGAGAAGTGGAAACTTACAAACATTGCTGATCCCACAGAATAAAATGCCGCGATGTTGAGCAGGCTGCCGAGCAGGGGATGATCCCATTGTCCGGACGCCTGGAAAAGGCGACGGTGAGGTTGAACGAGGTGGGGGAGGATTGCCAGTTTATGGTTGCAAAGCTGACAACGACGGTGTAGGTATGTTAATCGGGGAACTTGGATGAGAAAAAGAACGGACACGCCTACCAGCCAGAGTACCGGACAAAGCTCCCCTGCTGACGAGTGCTGAGCAAATCGGTGTCTGCTCGAGCATCATGGGCATAGGCTGAAGCCAATGCCATGACTATCAATTGGAAGGTGAGCTTCCAAAAAGAGACGGTAGGCATTGTGGAGCTGGAGCGTGTCAACAACATGATCGACTCTACCAGAAGGGAACGTCCCTACGTGGACCAAAACGACTGAGCTGACAGGATCCCGAGGTATTTATCATGGTTTACCTACCATGCGGAGAGCTTTCATTTGTTCTCGGATTTCACCAGTGGCTGTTGCGGCTGGGTTCTTTATCGATCCTCGACCTGCATCATAAAAGGATTGCCAAGCACATCAATTTCCACAAGCAGCGGCTGAGCAACACGCAACAGTTCGGGGTGCATTCTTGTTTGGGAATATATGACCTCCGTAGTACCTCAGTTAGGTTTTCACGAGTGGCTTTGCAGACCAAGACTTTGCTTGAGCGAATGTTCCGTCGTGTGATCTGATCATCCTCTTTGAGGATGGCATGTCATGAATGAATGTGAAATCCCATAGCCTTCCTACATCAAACACACAAGTGACACAACCTAAACTCTCCACAAAAACCACAAGCATATCATGTCTCATCAACCTGATAGTCGTCCCGTGGATCATGCTTATTACGGTGCTTCTTATCCCACAGTAGCTTGCACAACCGACCCCCGTGAGTCCGTCTTAATCTCTGCATCCCAGAACACGTAACCCCTGTCTGACAAGAGCTGTGGAATTACGTTTCCATATATGTTGCTATACCTGCCTCCCCAGATCTCAGTCCAGACCAGATTCGGGGGAGGATCCTTATCCCCATCCCGACTATCCCTCACCAAAAAGTCGCCTACAAAAGGCATGGGATCCCGTCTGCCCTCCTTTCGATCCCGTTCTGTTGGTTACGACGGCGGCTAGAGCGGCGTGCGGAGCCGTAGTGCAGTCCCAATTCCAGTCTCTGCAGGGCGCCATCTATGACGATCTGAGGCTGAGTGGCGACGACTAGGTCTTCGTGCGCTTTATGATCGTCTTTTTCGCGATCCATCTTGTCTAACACAATACCGAGCAATCCAAGGCCGCGGGAAGCCGTCGCAACCATGTGCTTAAACCTTTTGTGTGCGACGGGGCCTATTTCGGTGAGGCACGGCCGTGCTGAAGCCTGAAAACCCACCATTTTTCTGCTTCAAGGACCAACCACGCCCTCCCGCTCCAGACCGGCTGCCAGGCAGTTGAAGGCTCCATCGGGAGTGGGTGGGCGCGGTAGATGGTCAAATCGTGGGTTATCAGGGTGCAGATCTGTAACGATACGGGCGAAGGGTTTCGCCGTACCAGCCCACAGCATAATTATATATGCATCGAACCTCCTCCATCTCGAAAGCCGTAAAATTTTATACAAAAGCTTGATAGATGTCGTGATGAGCCGCCAAGCCGTGCCAGTTGGCATGGCGATAGGCTGAATAGGGTCCAAACCCAAACAGATTGCACATGAGCTGATGGCGGTACATGGCTCGCGTGAGACGCAGGGCTTCGGTACTGCTCAACAACTTGCCTCCCTCCGGAAGCGCTTCGTCATCTTGGCCTTTGGGGAAAGTGGTCGTCGCCGGTAAGATATGCGTAAAAGACATCTGCGGCGTAGATGTCCAAAGTCACCAACAGGCATTGTCGTTGGATGAATGCTAGGTCCAACAAATACTGTTGCAGGTAGACTGGAAAGGCCCCGATGAAGACATGCAAATCGTCAAGTGAGATTGCAGAGAATGGCCCTTCGAATCTCCAAAGGGACGGATTCGATAAGCGACTTGTCGGGGCCCATCGTGCGCCTCGGGTGTGTTTGTTTGACGCAAAGTCGAAGATTGGCCGTTGCGAACCTTGACCGCTCGTCAGAGTTCTTGTACGAGACAGGGTGGGGGAGTTGAGGTCACATGAGGAGTACAGTGTAAATCATGCTTTTGACGGCTTGTTTGATGGTTGAACCAGGCCGAAGTCAATTTGATGCAGCCCTCCCTGGTTTCAACGCTCTGAACGAAGCCTAATCCCGGAACAGGAATGCGGCCAGGACCAAAAGGCGTATGGTTCGCAATAGTTGGTCGCTGAAAGCCATGGCATTGCTTGGCCAACACGATGCCCCTTTTAAGGGACGGTTCAAATACTAGCAATGTGCGAGCTCATGATGGAGACCGCGTCTCTGAGTGCACACCACCAAAGTCTGGAGTCTCCATCTCCCACTCAACGTGACCATGAGGTGTTCTGGATGCTGTATCGCACTTTTTGCTATTGGTACGTCGTCTCGAGGAAGCAGCTCACTCTCCTCCTCGTTGTACCCATTACTAACACATTTCCGACAGTGAGCGTGGTTGCCAACTTTCTGCTTTTGCTCACTTGTGTCTCTCCCAGCGTCAAAGACCTCGCCCTCTATCGCGTCAACGTCACCCGTCTGGCCGAGGACCTGCACAGTCAGGTGTTGAACAAAACAGAAGCTACCTCGCCGAAAGATCTTCTTCACCCAAATTTACCAACTTATTGGTTGTGGGGGATATCAGGCATCTGCGACGAATATCCCGACAAAGCAGTTTGTCGACGGAGGTTCTTGCCAACGCAAGATATCCTGACACTTGTCGAGCACTCCTTGACAAGCGGAACTGATGATGGCACCCAAGATGAAACCATCAGCAAGGTCTTGACGACATGGAACAGCACACTCACCCACCTCGACTCCCCTGAACAGCATGATAGGGCAGCAAAATTCGCCGCAATATCCAAAGCTGGCGTCGCCATCATCATTGTCGTCATCATCTTGGATATCTTGCTGCTTGGTCCATCGCTTTGGTGGCCTTCGAGCAAAAAGCGTCTGCCCCGTGTTTTCTATCTCATTTCCGCTGTCTACGGGATGATAGCGATGGGGGCGGGGATTGTGGTGGCGGTCGCGTTGCCTCATGGTTTTCACGTGGCGGTCATCGCAAGAGAAACTGGGGTGATGACCCTCATCATCCTGTTTGTCGGCGCCGGAATAAGGCTTGTTACAAGTCTCATTGGCTGCTGTTTTTCCTGTTGGGACCCAGACAGTTCAGGTCCGTCGAGACTGCCAGAGTGGTCAAGGCGAGGGGGAGTTGGGCAACGGCCGGTAGTGCGACGAAGGGTTAGATCCGAGATGACTCTTGCCAAGCAAGCTGTACGCCACGAGGAGAAAAGGGTCAGGTCGGAGACACCCGAGAGTGGCCAAGTCGAGGACAAAGAGGGAAGCAGGTTGAGACCGAGGAAACCACTTGGTGATCAAGGGACGTACAACGAAAAGATTGGCTATCTTGGAGAGAAATGCGTATGTCCAGCCCCCAATCACTGTCCCCGTTGCATGTCAACTGACCTGAGCGGCTCAGATATTTGACCTTTTTAGCCTGTACAACCTACCCAACTGGTCCGGTGAGACAAACTGGACCAGCAGTCTACGCAGCCTTCAAAATCTGTTTGAAGATTTCCCAATCCACCAAGAGAAGCACCACGCTGATTTCACCTATCACGACACAACGGGGGCAATGCGTGAAGCGCTCCGTCAAGAGGGGCTACGAGTCTCTCCCAGCTGGTCAAACAACACAAAGTATCACATAGAGGTCAAGACCACAGAGGGGAGATGTTGGACACCGATGAAAGTGAGCGTCAATCAGACAAGGCTGGTAAGTGTCTACCTGGTTCCTCTCTCAGAGCTTGTGATGCTGACAGCTTTCTGCAGATGGAAAACTACGAGGGTGATGCGAACAATGTCTACATACTGGTCAGGGTGTTTGATGTGCGAGAGCGTCATGTGGGGTTGAGGTGGTTTCCCGAGCCTCGGCGGAGGGAGAATTTGAAGTTTAAAGGGCCGAAAGAGGGCTATTATGAGGTTACGACGAAGAATATTTACGTGTAAGGTAGCAGTGTTTTGTTATTTGGCAGCAAGCTCTGGACAAAATACCTGGCTGCATGTCATGGAAAAGTATAACGTGCATGATAAGCGAGCGACGCAGACAAGCGAGCGACGCACTCTCCACCACCTTACTATAACTATCCTCAATTGCTAGACCACAACATTAAGAACCAACTACAATTACGTCAGAAACAGCTGAATCAGACCCTTCTGCAGCCTCCTGGCAAGTGCGGGAATTATGGCCAGGCTTGCCGCACACACTACAGCACTGAACCTTCGTACGAGCCCCCCTGGCACTACCGCCATCCGGCTGTATTTTTTCTACTGCCTCCTCACCCACGGCCTTCTGGTCCAGTAGATCCTGTGCATCTTGCACAGTAAGTGATCCTCCGAGCCGCACACGTGTTTTTTTAGCTCTCCGGCGCTTACTTAATACCTCATTGGCCTTGCGGAGCGAAGCGTTCTCTGACTAAAGGAGGGCCACCTAGTGCATTATAACTATCGTACCCTTAGTAAGCTGGTCTATAGTAACTAATATCGAAGTCGGAGAGTTATTTTGATGGTTAGTAATGTAAATCTTAATAAACGTTAATTATAAGTTTAGTTTCTTAGAGGTTTTATAGTATCTAGAATACCTAAAGTAGTACCGTGCCCGGCTTTAAGGATGGAGGTATTAGCGTACGAAGCTTTATATTTAACTTAAAAAGTATTTTTTTTAAATCGTATAGTATAAGGCTAGTACCCGCAAAGCTACCCTATATATTCTTTTCCGTTATAGAAGCAAAAAAGGTTTCGCGGAAAGTATAAAGGAATTCGAATTTACTTATATAATTAATATATATATATATTAAATCCTCGATCTAGCGGCCGTACGCTTACTTTAATAGTCTAAAGCAGCCGATATCGAGTAGCTGGAGGAGGTAGGAGGAGTATAGAGGTATATAAAATATAATAATATTATTTTACTAATAATAATATTCGAATTTAGTCGAGTAATAGCTTTTATAATTATCGAGGATTAATAATTAGTATTTACTTTTCGTACGGAATATTATATAATAATTAAAATATTTAATTTAATTTAGGTTTACTAAATTAATAATTTAATTATTATTAATAATTATAATATATTAAGTAAATAGTAAATTATATTCGGTATATTAATTAGTAAAATAATATTATACGGTTAAAATAATAAAGGGCGGGATAGCCTAACTAAAAATATTAACTTTTTAAATTACCGTTATTTATTTACGGTTATTAAATTAAACTAATTTTACTTTACTAAAGCCGTCCGAAATTATAATTACTATACTTACGAAAATAATATTTATTATAAACCTAATTTTATCGAAATTATAAATATTATTATCTATAATACTATATTTAGCTTTAATATTCCGTACAAATATAAACTACTTAATAATAACCTTTAAATCCTCGCACTTAGCCCTCTAGTAGTCGTATTTACGTATAAAACGTATACGGAATTATAGTTAGCGTTTAACGAAGTTATAAGCCTAGCGTTTACTAATAGGAAGCGCGTCGCGTACGCGTAGTAGTTAGTTAGCTATATCTTCCACACCACTTAATTTAGGTGGGAATGCGCGTGTAGATAGCTTAAGGACGTACTGAACTATCGTCTTTTCCTCCAGATCCGTTAAATTACGTGAGTTGGCCGGAATATCGCGTTGTATTGGTCGGCTATTACGCCTATGGCGGAGGGTTGCTTTTGGGACGTTATATAACTTAGCTGCAGTGCGGATACTAAGATCCTCCTTATTTTGAATAGCTTCGATGGCAAGAAGAAGTCTCGCTTCTTTTGAAGGGCCGTCCATGGTTGTTGGTGGTGAATTGTAGTAGAAGATATTGAAGAGACGCGTTGTGGTGGAGAGTGCGTCGCTCGCTTATCTGCGTCGCTCGCTTATCATGCACGTTAATCATTGTCAACCTAACGTTACATCCTTTCAAAAGTAAATAGGCTTTAAAAGATAGCTGAAAGGCCTAAGGAGAGAGATGAGGGCATATTGACTTTCGTTTGAGCCATGCTTTAGATATCATGTACGTTGACTTTCTTTTGCAGTCACATGGTATGCAGTTCGGTGGCCAAAACATGAATTTGGATTTCTGTTTCAATCTATTCCAACCCAAGTGATTCTAAAGGGCCTTCCACAGGCCCTGCAAAGCAAAAGCAGTATAGAAAAAAACGGACCAGGAAAGAAGTAACGTTCCAAAAACTTCTAAAAGAACTGCCCAAACTGCCAAGATAATAGTTCCTTGCCAGCAAGTTCTATCGTCCACCTACCAAGTCCCTCCAGACACTTGATGCTGGCCAGCCTGCCACAAGCTGAAGGACCCCCAAATTCCAAGGCCACCGAGAAGCTGATCAACACGAGCAACCCTGACCTCGTCGGACTTGACACTTGAATTACGAGACGTTCACCACCTCCTCCCAACGCGCAAATCTTGGACCACCTGGAATTTGGCTCCAATAGAATTGTTGAACATCTCTACCCATGAATTCAAACTCTGGATGAGAATTCAGCTGACAGACCCAGGCCACAACGAGCCATTGCTAAGTTACCAGCCTGGTCTCCTCGATGCTCGTGGGCGTTGCGAACGACGAATTTGACCCCCTGAATGTCGCGGCCCTGAATATTCTGGGAAGCCTTGCCATTGGGTGCCCAGCTCGCTTGATACAATGGCTGCTCCGGAAGTCTCCCCCACGCCTCCCTTGGCTGGACGTTCGTTGTCACGCACATATACGACGACAACAAAAGTGCCTAGTTCCTCATTGGGTTGGATATACATCTGAGGCTGCACGATGAAGTGTCCATAGTTGCGAATGGAAACACACTGCTGCGACATTTTCCCACATGTACTCGAAGTTTTGGCGTAGTGTGGTTGAAAGTGATGACGGGATGTGTATGTGAGAGGGCGATGGTTCTGTGGATATGCTGAGTGTCTTTGGAACCCTTCTCTTGGGTACTCTGGCTGGAATTGAATTCAAAGAGTATTTAAACAACTCGGGGAGTGGCCTTGATGACCTGGACACTCGTGGCACAGGCGCAGGAGACTTGCGGCCGAGATCAGGGGCGCCAAGGGGGTGGCGATGGATCAAGTTTCGTCGCAACAAACGGTCACGCAGGACTCTACCTACCTGGCAGCATGACCGCAACACCAGGCGCACGTCGGGCGGCTGAGACACAATGATTATGGCATTGATGAGATGAAAAGTATCTCGTAGTAAAATGGGAGCCGGGTTTCCAACACAGTACACGCCCATAGCACCTGTTACAATGCCATCTGTAGTTTGCAAGGCCGACTGCGATGCAACGCAACCTCCGTCCGGACTCGGTGTGAGCCTTGAACACGCCCACATGCTCTGTCTGGAACGAACTCCAAACACCCAGAGGGACCTGGTGAACAAAAACTAAACTCCCATCAAACGAGCAGCCGCGTCAGTGACAGTCAGCTTCTACATCGAGACCATATCATCACCGATGCGCGGCTGAGGCAGTGCGCCGTTATTCTTGCCTCCTTTCCCACCCTTACTGGAAGTCACAACCAATGTTGACCTCGTTCTCCAGCCCTCGTGAGATAGGGTTTCGACAACTGATTCAACGGCGGTTGCCACCCAAGGGCAATGGGTACCGGCTATCGTCAGCCACCCAGCAAGAATTTGCGCCACCGCCACAAGGCTTCCACCGTTGTGGTGTCCCAGCTTTCGCAATACCCCACAGATCACTTTAAACTCCAACGAGCATTGCGTTCCTACGCCAACGATCTGCCTCAGCTGCTCAGCAGAAACCAACGTTTCTATTTGTGCCTCAACTCCCCCCTGAACCCACCTCCCCTAGGCCGCCCGCAAGTCGGCTGCTGGCCGCTCCCCAGCCAGTCACTCCCCCATTATCAATACCCCCGACATTTCCGACACTTAAAAGTCAATAGCACGCACAAAACATTCATATCCATCGTCGCAGTACCACTGTGGCCTCTTCCAGCAATCAGATATCTCATCCACTTTATTGGTGGTCATGTTGCAACAAACTGTTTTGGGGAGGGTCAGACTTGTCTGGGAATCAACTAGTATAGTCTTTGGTCAGGGAGGAACAACGAAAATGGGGTACAACAGCGCAGAAGTTACAGGGGCTTGGAGGAGGGGGTGATAAGTGACGAGGATGAAGAGACGCTGTATTACAAGGATGAGAGTCAGGCTGTGGAGATGGAAACCTTTTACCAAAGTGGGGAGGCAAAAAAAGCAGGACGGTATGGGTTGGCACCTTGATACGCCGATGGATTCTCATATCGCTCAAACATATCGATATATCCATGGTATAAGCCTGATCCCCCTCACTCTCTTATCACCCAAAGCCTCGCGCTGAGATCAAAACATTAACCCAAAAGATACAACAACCAAACCCTCAAACAATCCACAAACTACGGCAACCACCAACCAAAACGCCTCTGGTCCAGGGTTCTCACCGCCAAACTATAACTCAGCACCATCCCAGGCCAGTCCTCACCATAAATCTTGAGAATAGCCTGCATATCCGCTACCGAAGGGCGGTTCCAACACCCACCCTACCCTGAATCAAAGCCTGCAATCCTCTGACTTCAGCAATCTTCCCTTCCTCGTCCTCGGTCGCCGGCCGCAAAGCTCGAACAAGACAAGAATCATTCATATTCATCTTGGTAATCATAACGTGCGCTGGAGATCCAGGGCGCGGCTCGAGTAGGCACTGCAGACGGACTTCTTCATGCTGCTCCTCCAGGCTGGTTCCATAGTCTGGACCAAATAGGAGCCGCATATTTTCTGGCGTGTCCTGACCTGTGATAATGAGGCGGTATCGAGGCAGGCTAAACACTGTATCAGCAACCATTGTTTTCCATAAAAGTCTGCAAGGGGACGGGAACGATGCGCACCCTATTCCACCACGTTTTGAATCATCTTCAAGACAAAGTGATTTCATCAAATCTCGGGCCTCCGGGTCGTTAGGTGCCTTTGTAGTGTAATAGTCATGGGCGTCGAGCTTTGGAGGAGGGACGGCAGCAGGTGAAGCGGTGGCAGCAGGTGAAGCGGTGGCAGCAGGTGAAGCGGTGGCAGCAGGTGCGCGACATGTTTCCTTGTGCACTATCCAGTACGCCTTCTGGCACCCTCTCGAGTGATACCACGCCCGGCCGCACTGCGCACACCGTTTGAGCGCTTCGAAAAACGACGCCTGACCCATCCGGCAGCCATGACACCTTGTAGAATCGCCCAGTTTACCCGGCTCTCGAAAAACCATCTCCAACGCCGGAGTGAGCGGGAGAAAGAAATCCTCTCAGCGCTTCTCCAAGATCTCCCGCTCTTTCGAGGTGCAGACGCCCACTTTGCAAAGCGCCGGTGTCACGCCGTGCTTCTTCAGCTCATCTTCGATCGCCTGCGCCATCTCGGGTTCCAAGGTGGACCATGAGCCAGGCAAGAGGGCCGTAGCTTTAGGGTTGAATCCCTCGGGTATGAGAAAGGCGTCCAAAAGATGGGGAACCGTCGCTTCAGCTTTCCCTTGTATTGTTGGCATTGAAAGTATTTGACACGGGCTGGCCTCCTTCATAAAATCAAATCCTGGGTTGACGGCTATAAGAATTTCGGAGGGGTTCTTGATCTCAACATGGCAGACGCCAAAAACCCAGTGGTTGCGACCAAACAGGTTGGGTAACTCCATATCCGCCGGGCCCGGGAGGTTGTTGAACGAGCGAACCTTTTCCTCCATGATTGCTGTGTGTCTGTGATGATAAGTAGCGGTCGGTTGTTCTGGCAAATGAGGGATGAAGCACTGCTCTCGTAGTCAATGACTTTGCAGCAAAACTGTTGATCAACTAAGCGAACAAGGTAACTGGAGAAGAACTGAAGCTGAAGGCAAACAGGCCCAGAGTGGCGAAAGCTCCCGGAAGGAGCAGACAGTGATTCGGTGACGGCAGTTTGAAACTTCGGTGTCATGGTCCATATGCGATACTGCCAGTTCGGAAAGTGTGCTGTACAGAGCAGGAAGGATGGTGCAATGACTGTGAATCGCTATCACTCCCTAAACACCTCCAGCCTCGCCCTTCCCGTCATCAGGGTGCAAAGCCAGAGGCCATCAACAACCAAAACATCAAGGAAGCTAAACACTAGACTACCGCCAAACACAAAACTGTGGTACGTCCAAGCATTGCCTTCATCCAGCTCCTTGACTTGACATACAATAGCCCAAGGTAAGACATACAAAAGGTTGCTAACAAGACTCTGGTACAAGTACCACTTGGGCCTTGTAGCAAGCAAAACAGTGGCCAGTTGAGTAGACGCTGCATAAAAGATGTAGCACCAGTCTATCGTGCGCCACATGTACGCCGTCACCTCTGCAACCTCGTCTGAAGCACTCAAATACTTTGCAAATGACCCAGCACCCCAGATGGAGAGGAAAATCGCCAGCGGGATCTCCACGAGCATGGCCAGCCCAAAGGATGTCAGGGCTGGCTTCACAATCCTGAATATCACAGGCTTAAATGCCACTTTTCCAGGTCTGCGTGTCGTTGTCCCAATTTCTCGTCTCCACGCACCCCACCGGTGACCAACAAAGGCGAGAGCTGTGGCTTCCAGAGACTGAACTGGCACCATGACAAGACCCCATCGAATGGTATTGAACACGCCCCAAGCAGTGGCGTAGGTAGACCCCATGGACACAATATTACTTACCAACCAGAGGTAGAGCGCATTTCTGACGGTAGACTCAATAAGCGTGAGAATGCCTGGACGGATGAGAACAGCCAGTGCCCTCACGCTTGGCGCTATCCTTTCCTGCGCCTTGTATTGTGGCCAGCTGGTCCTCCAGAGAAAATAGACCAAGCCACAAATCGCGGCAGCCATGTTGCACGCCAGCTGAATGCCGGCCTGCATGTTCACGGTCGGTGTGTGGCTGCCAACGTGAAAAGTTGAAATGAGGAGAAGGTCCAAAATGATGTTGATGCCAAACTTGGCACTGCTGATGACCAACGGAACATCGGGCTTGTCTAGGGCGCGCGTGGCAGATGCAACAGCTGTCTCGAGAGCCGAGCTGAGGGCAGAAAAGGCGCTGATACGGATGTACGTGAGGCTGGCGCCTCGAACTTCGATTGGAACGAAGCCCTTGGCAAAGGTGGAGGCACCACCGAGGAGGGCGAGACTCATGATCAGGCCGAGAATAGTCTGGAAGAGGATGAGGGTGTGCGAGAGTGAGAGTCGGGCGGCAAGAGAGCGAGAAGATTTGTCCCCAATGATGACCCTTGAGGTATGTTAGCATTCAGTTCCCAGGCATAAGGGAACAAAAGGGCAAAGGTACCAAGCAGCTCGCGGTAGCCCTTCATTGAGCACCTCGGCAAGAACTCCAATGTATGTATACACATCGGTTGTGACAACCATGCTGCGGTCGATGTTGGCGACCCATAGTTTAGAAAGTGTGCCGTAAAGAGCAGGAAGAATGAAAGAGGCTGTGTTGAAAACCAGTGCACCAGCGTAAAAACTTCGAAAGTCGTTCTGAAGCAGCGATTCATCTTGAAGATGGCGGCCGTCGTCACTGTCTCCGCGGTTGTTGTCCGAGGGCGAGGCCCGATTTTCTTGGGCTACCATTCTGTAACCCAGTCGATTCCGGAGATGATGGAGAAGGGATGACATGGCCCAGTTGAAGTGGCGAACACCTTCCTTCTGATAAGTTTTCCATCTTTGGAGGAAAGGTGCGCCATCGAGCGGGGTATGCTGCAGGCTGTTGAATTTCAGGTTAGGTAACGAGCACAGTGCCAAAAGTCGACCAGTAGAAGTCTCGGACGCGGTAGGCCTCAAGACATCATGGGATCATTTCGACTCCATGACATTGCTTGCATTGGTCTCTTCTCAATATATGCCCTGAAGGGGATTAGTCACACTGAAGAAGGGTACCCAACTACACAAAAGGCTTGGGATGATACCTATCCAGGACATTTTCCGCATAGCTGAAAGTTGGTTGGTTTACCCTCTCTCATGGTATTAACTGACATTTGGGATGATATGAAGCATATTGATAGATTTGAGACGTTTTAGTAGAGATGAATGTCATCCATTTTTTTTAGTTGGGTGATGCTTTGTTATCAAAGTAATTCTGAAGAACAATATCATCTCAAACCCAAGTTCTTGACTTGGCGGAAACTTGAACTGCTGCAGCGAGAGCAGGAGCAACGGGAGCAACTGAAAGGTGAGCGACTCTCCACACGTGATGCCGTCTCATAAAGAACGATTGCTCTTGATACGGCGCACCTTCCTCCAAAATGAGAACTCCACCAAAGATACGGCCGTCTCGCTCCTCCACGGGTTTGGTACTATGGATCTTGAGGTACCCACGGGTCATCGCGGCCGCAAATCCTGCCTTGGCCAGTTGGTATTTATACGTCTTCAACGATCCTTCTCCCTCTCAGCCCATCATCGCTTTGCAACCCAACAACTGTCTTCCCAACTCTCGCCATGTATCTCGCGACCGCCCTCGCCCTGCTCCTCAGCAGCATCAGCACTGTGACCGCCAGCCGGTCCTGGGTCGCAACTGCACAAGACTACGGCAATGCCACTTTCGTCACCGGCGTTGATGATGTCTCAGAGCAATTCAAGATTCAATGGGTCGAAGGCGGCAACCCCTCCGATGTCATCATTGGCCACATCCCCGGCGGCGGCCTTGAGGCTAGGGATGACAAGATGTCTACGATCACGGTCGAGACGATATTCGTTGTGGACACGGCTACCAGCTACTCCTCCACAGCCACCACCATAGTCAGCACCCTCGTGGGTGAGTCCCCGAGCCCGGCCGGGGCCACCCAAGCACCCAACACCGTTCCCAAATGGGCTCTAGACGTGTTCACGCAAGGTGACACCTGGTGTCCCCGTGGTGTCTACTCCACCATCTCGCTCCTCCGGTACGGGACATTCTGTCTCAAGACGCCAGCCGGCACCACCAGCGCAAGAATTCCACAAGGCATGATGGGTGGATGCAGCAGTAAGTTTGCCTTGTTTGCCCCGCAAGAGAATATCTTTCCAGTTGACTGATCATCATATGCAGCTACCTTATTCCAAGACGAGAACTGTTCCGTTGGCCCCGTTCACATCGAGAACGAAGAGATGTGTATGCGGTTGCGCGGTAGCAGCGGTGTTGTCGAGCTCAAGTCATTTGTCGTTGCTTGCTAGATAGCAAGGGAAGTGGTGCAAGTCAAGGATCATAAAATGGTTTCTGGAAGATAGACGGATAGCAGTAGGGAATCCAGCCCACTTCATTCATGGCGTTTTTGTCGATTCGTGCCCAGTATTTTATGACCCAGGTGTTAAGTCAGCCCACAATAAGTTGTTTAATCGCAAGGTAACTCAAGACCTTGTCAACAAAACGTGAAGTAAAAAGGAAAGCTTTTTTTCAGCAAAAGAACATGTGGACTCTCCCGCCGGGAATTGAACCCGGGTCTCGAGCGTTGACGTCTGAAGATGACAAGCTCACATACTGACCACTATACTACGGAAGACTTACAGATGTTGTCACCTGTCGTAGCTGTGTGAGGTGCCGGAAGCTGGGCCAAAGACGTCTAGGCTTGTGGGCGTTGCGTGGAAAAGAAAGATAAGGGTGGAGGCAAGAGGTGCAAAAACGATCCGCCCAGGGGTCGAACCTGGAACCTCCTGATTATTTGATTGGGTAATCGTAGTCAGACGCGCTGCCATTACGCCAGCGGACCTTGGAACTTGGATGCATCGGTGGACGGAGTGTGGCCTTATGATAGGATATGCAAGCTCGGTGAAGCTGAAAATAGATGTCAAAAACATCTTGAATAAACATGCCGAAAATGGACATATTTTTCATGAACAGTTACAAAAGGGCATTTTTGTGGGGCCGGACTTTGGCGGACTTTGCGTTGTGTAACAAGACACAAGTGCTTCGCTGACAATTACCGTCCAGTATGGCTTGGCGCACCCTTTTCTCTGTCCCCATGAAGACGCAGTTAAGACACCATCTCGGGCCGGGAAACAAGTGACACCGATCTCATGTTTCCAGAATGTCTCAATCATGGAAATTAAGACTAAGGCCGGTAATCCCGCTCTCTGATGGGATCACGATGATCGTTGATGGATGAGAGTTGTGTATAAAAGGGGCCTCGGTCTAGTGAGATCTTGTGTGGTATGAACTCGACATCATCACACACCGAGCACTTCACCAGTATCTCTCAGCTACTCTCATCAACTCAAACTCAAAATGGCCTCCACCGACAAGACCATCGTTCTCATCACCGGTTAGTCCCCCTCTATCACTGTCCCCTTTTTGAACTTTGCCAAACTAACCCAGCAAAACAGGCGCCAACAGCGGCATCGGTCTCGAAACCATCGTCACCATCTCCAAGTCCTCCCCTAATTACCACCTCCTCCTCGCCGCCCGCTCCCTCGACAAAGGCAACGCCGCCCTCGCCAAAATCCAAGCCGAGCACGGCGCTGCTCTCCTATCCCCCGTCTCAGTCGTCAAGTTGGACGTCACCTCCCTCCCCACTATCGAAACCACCGCATCATACATCGAATCCACCTTTGGCCGCCTCGATGTCCTGATCCAAAACGCGGGTGTCATCGTCTACCGCCCTTGCTCCACCCTCGAAAACCTCCGCGAGACGTTTGAAACAAACACCTTTGGCCCGAAGGTCCTGACGGAGGCAATGCTGCCGCTGCTGAAAAAGTCGAGGAACGCGCGCGTGATTTATGTGAGCTCGGTGCAGGGGAGTATCACTTTCAAGCTGGACCCGGAGTACGAGTACAAACACACGAGGGGGATCGAGTACAGGATGAGCAAGGCTGCGCTGAATATGCTGGCGGCTTGCGACCGGTATGACTTTCGGGAGTGGGGCGGGAGGGTGACTGCTTTTAATCCTGGGTTTTGCGTGACCAACTTGACTGGGGAGGACGGCAGGAAGCAGAGGGTGGAGGCGGGGGCTAGGTCGGCGGAGGATCCGGCAAGGGCTTTGCTTGAGGTGTTGGAGGGGAAGAGGGACGGGGATGCGTGGGAGGAGAATGGGATGTTGGATTTGGATGGGGGGTTATTCCTTGGTGATTGAGCGAGTAGGCGGCTGGGATTCTTTTGTGGTGAGGCTAGAATTGGCAGCGGGTGAAGCTTGCCTGGTTGGGTAATGGTCGTTGTGGAGGGTCTCCTTTGAGTGCTTTCTGAGTTTACAAAGTGTTTAGTAGAAGTTGATTTTTCGAATGGTACCTAGTGCAAAGAGAAAGCTCCGCATTGATGGAGTAATCTGAGGCGTGTGAAGTGCAAGTGAAGGTAGGTGCCATTACAGATGAGTCATGAATTTCCTTTACTTTTCAGGAAGTGAGAAGTTAACTGCTCTGTGGAAGAAGTCAAGTATTGAAGATACGGAAAAAGGCAGCTGTAACAATTGCATTTTTTTCTCCTCCGGCGGGTAGAAACAGCGGACAATTGTTAAACTTGTTGACGTTGATGAGAAACCAAAACTCTCCACTGGTGCAAATGAGCTCCGATGGCACTGACTTATGCAGCTATACATAATGTTATGGTGGGGTGTGCTGTAGGGTTTGGGTTAGACGTGCTCTCTTTGAAGAACCCCACCATCAATATGAGCCCACCATGAGTCACCGAAGTCGGATGGTGGGGGCGGGCGGTGAGCAGCCAAAATCTCAATCTGGCCAGCTTTGTCCACTGCTGCTTGGCTCTTGGTGACAACGGTCGAGGGTCCATTGCTGCCAGTCACTGACACCCCCTGGTTCGCTGGAGATTCTCTTGTACTAGGATTCGATATTGATATCTCACTCAAGATCACCAACCACCTGCCCAATTCTCGATGGCTTCCACCGCGAAACTCGACATCCGGCCATCCGCTGAAGAGGCCCGCTCTGTTTTTGAGCAGGCCCGCCAAGCCAGTCCACGGCCAACCCTCCTTCCCGTTTGCTACTCAGTTCCCTCGGACCTGTTGACGCCATCTGCCATCTACCTCAAGCTCTCCAACGGGTACGTGATGCATGCGAACGATTGAGTGGAGCTGTGTCAATTGAGTCGGTTGGAATAAGTCATTGAACCAGTTCTGATATGACAACACAGTGCCACCGCTGAGTATTCATTCCTTCTCGAGAGCGCCACCGGTAGCACTGGGACGATTGGCCGTTATAGTTTTATCGGTGCCAGTGAGTTTGAGCCGGCCACAATGTGACACTTTGCCATGTTTAACTTCTGACACGATCGATAGATCCCAGAAAAGTGCTGGCCACCGGCCCCGGATATGAAGATGTCGGCGACCCCCTCCGTGCTCTTGAGAGTACTCTCGGTCAGGACCGTGTTCTCAGCATCCCATCACTGAGACTCCCCAGTCTGACCGGAGGTGCTGTCGGGTACTTGTCCTATGACTGCATCAGGTACTTTGAGCCCAAGACGGCCAGAGCTCTCAAGGACAACCTACAGATCCCCGAGGCGCTCTTTATGCTTTTTGACACCATCGTCGCCTTTGACCACTTTTACCAGACCGTTACCATTGTGACTCACATGAGACTACCAGAAACCGTCGGGGATGAGTTCCAAGCTGCCTACGACGAGGCCGCTGCCACAATCAAGTCCACTCTGGACCTTATTCAACAGAACGAGATTCCTCTTCCACCCGCGACACCCAGCAAGCCGGCCTCGGAGCAGCAATATTCATCAAACGTTGGCCGTCATGGCTATGAGACCTTCGTCACTGAGCTCAAAAAGCACATCATCAAAGGCGACATCATTCAGGCTGTCCCATCACAACGCTTTTCCCGAAGCACCAGCCTGCATCCATTCAACATCTATCGCACATTACGGACCCTGAACCCATCCCCATACCTCTTCTTCCTGTCTTGCTCCGACTTCCACATTATCGGCGCTTCACCAGAATGTCTTATGAAGACAGACGGCTACGCTGACCTTCCTGAAGACGAAAGATTTGGCTACTCTGCGCAAGACGCCCTTTCCCGCCCGAAGATTGTCAACCATGCCATCGCAGGCACCATCAAGCGCGGCGCCAACCCCGCCGAGGATGATGAACTTGCCGCCGTTCTCCAAAACAGCACCAAGGATCGCGCCGAACACGTCATGCTTGTTGATTTGGCCCGCAACGACGTCAACCGCGTTTGCCACCCCTCTACTGTCAAGGTTGACCGCCTCATGCGCATTGACCGTTTCTCTCATGTTCAGCATCTGACGTCAGAGGTATCGGGACTGCTGAGGCCAGGATGCACACGCTGGGATGCCATGCGCAGCATCTTCCCCGCTGGCACTGTCTCTGGCGCTCCCAAGATCAAGGCTATGGAGCTGATCTACGACTTGGAGAAGGAGAAGAGAGGCATTTACGCCGGCGCTACCGGATGGTTCGCCTACGATGTAGTCCGTTCCCTGGGAGAGGGCAAGGGGTTTAAGCTGGATGAGGGGCAGATGGATACTTGCATTGCCATCCGTACCATGCTTGTCAAGAAGGGTGTCGCCTATCTCCAGGCCGGTGGCGGTATTGTCTTTGACAGCGAAAAGACCGAGGAGTGGATGGAAACCATGAACAAGCTGGCGGCCAACCTCAGGTGTATCGAGCAGGCTGAGAAGTACTATGGTGATGGAGCCGGCACGAAGTCGGTTCAGGACATCATCGACGACGAGAGGAGAAAGGGAGATGAGTATTACTCCAGCCTTCAAACCACCAGCGCTGGGGCTTAAGTATTAAACAGTCTAAAGAGGTAGACAAGAATGATCACGATACTGCCTTCTCAGCTGTAACATCAGGACCTCGCTACTTGTTACTCATAAAACGTGACACAACCTCCCCGCCACAGAAATACTTGGCATCACTTTTGCAGACTTGCTTTAGTTGAACCCCCGTTTTGCACGCCTGATCATCCTGCCGATAGGAAAGCAACTCCATCCCCTCGCTCTCCTCCAAGCCGTAAAGTGTTTCTGTGTCGTCGTCACACACGGGCCCCTCCTCCCCGTCTTCCGCCAACTCCCGAGTGCCTCTCTGCTCCTCCTCATCATGTGCATTTCTTGTTCGGCCCCGAGATTTGTTCCAATCGATCCCCACACACGTCTGACCCTCGCCGAAGCAATTTCTGGCGATGGTTGCAGCGCTCATGAAAAACAGAAAAAGAAACAACAGGACAGGCCAGAGTAAGATTTGGACGAGGGCGACGAGCCAGGTTAGACACCAGAGGCAACCGTCTTTTTTGAGGAGGGGGAAGGACGAGATGATTTGGCGGTGGGCGGTGGGGAGGGCGAAGAGGAGGAAGAAGGTGAGGGTGTAGTAGAGGAAAGTGAGGATTGAGAGCTAGGGGATGGTATTAGTGGTGGTGATGTGGTAGTGGTGGGTGGGTTGCATTTTGTTGTACCGTATGGAGAGGTGGTTGTGTAGAGAAGGATGGTGAGGTTGGGGAGGGGGGAGGGGGGAGGTTGGGTGTATGGTTTTGTTTGGTGAACTAGCCAAGAGGATCGTCCTGAGGATTCGGTGAACACGCGCCGGAGAGAGCGATGAATACGAATGGGAGGTACCAAGCTGGATGCAGGGTCGATCAGAGCAACACAGCCAGGTTGTGCCGTAGTTGTTATGCGAGTTCTTTCTTGGCTCAGTCCGACATGTTTCAGTGCTGGGTAGGTAGGCTAGGTGGACGAAGAGGGCGAATAAGGTGAAGAATGCGTGAACTCAAGATCACAGACTGCCTGGGAATCTTCTCCATTGAAACCATAGAGTGTTTCTGCATCATCGTCAGGCACCGTCCCCGCCCCGTCATCTAGCAGATGGTTCCTCTGCTCCTCCTCATCATATGGATCCCGCTTTTTTCGTTTCAAATATCCGCTCAGGTCAAATCCCATGCAAGTCTGTCCCTCGGCGAAGCAATAGTTCATGATCGTTTCCCACTTGGTGCTCAATAGAAGGACAGTCAAATACACCGGCCACAGGTACAACGCAAGGACGGTCATTGGCCAGGAGAGAAGCCAAAGGCAGCCGTCTTTCTCGATGAAGGGGAGCCACTTGATGATTTGTTTCTGGGCAGTGGGAACCCCAATAGCGAAGAATGGGACGGTGGTTATGAATGAGTAGGAGATTGTAATGAGCAAAAACCAGGGTGGGCCGTCAAACATTGTGGTTGTTGATTGAGTAGGGGTAGTTGATAAATGGTATTGTATTCCAAAAGGTGTTGGGGTTAGGAGATGAGGTTGCGGAAGCAATTGGGCTGTATTATTTTTTGGATGGGATGTGCTCAAGAAGTACCTTTTTTCCATTGGGGGCCAGGCTTGAACACGTGCTAGGTGAAAAAACCCAGAGCGATGGATACAAGAGAGGTGGTGTTGCTGAGGGAGGGTGGTCCGAGCGCTGATGCCCACCGAGCTGAATGCGCTGTCGGTCAGAGCAACACAGCCCTGTTGTGACCAGCCGTGGGTATTAAAGAGGCTCTGGAGCAAAACTGCCATCATACAGGTTCCAGTCAGTCGCCAAGGTGGGATCCATCATCCACGGTAGCGTTGTAGGGTTCATCCAGATACGCCTGACTCGGTAGCGAAAGCCCAAGGGCGTAGACATCGCGAAGTATCCCGTCAACATTCGGTGATGCTGACATCCATATTGCACGCTTGGTAGGGCTCGATACCGAAATGGCAAAGACTTGGATTCCATGATCCCGTGGCTGGTGTTTGTTTACAAGGCGATTGCTGAAGACGTGATAATCGACGAGGTAGCCCGATGAAGAAAAGGAAGATGTGTGGTTGAGCAAGGTGGCCCAAGCGCTGGTGCCTGAACACACTCAGGTCGGTTGAAGGGGCAGGACAGCAACACAGCCCCGTTTTCTGTTCTGCCACATTGTCTCCCTGTTTATTTAGAGCCTCAACAGACACAACTTCTCTCATCAAATCATTGCCGTCATGTCACCAGTACCAGTCGGAAGCCTCTGTCAGTACTGCAAGGGCATCAATGTGGAAACTATCAGCCAACCTGGTGGACATGCGCATGCCCATAGTCTGGCAGTTATTCAGCAGAGCGCCCAACAAGGCTGCGCGCTTTGTGGTTGGTTCGTAACACTCACTTGGAGCAGAGAAATCGACAACGAAATGCGCGAAGTTGAACCGCCTACTTCTGCAGGAAGACAGTCCACAGATCGCTTCCATGTGCGACCCGTTGGGCCCGGATATCTTGGTCAAAGTCACATTTGTTTGACCGACGACACAGGGGAGTATCAGACCACAGGCCTCGAGATGTGTCGTCTTGAGGGTATGTGTCTGACGACCATGTTGTTCTTGAATGGAAACACAGTGCTGACCATAGCTACAGGTGACTTAGCTCCTGATGACTGTCCAATTCCAGTCTGCAGAGCCCTATCAGACACTGCCTCACCAGAAACACAAGAAACAGCTCTGTCTTGGTTGAAGCAGTGTGAAGTCGAACATGACTGCAACAACTTGTCGATACCTGGGCCCAACAACACCTATGTTTTGCCCGGTCGATTGGTAGACCTGCGGTCGTTCACACCCACGACTCCGATCATACGATTGGTGGAAACTTTTGCTCTTCCTGGAAATATTACCAACACGCCTGGCTTCTACAGCACACTCAGCTACTGCTGGGGCATCTCTCCCTTCTACAACACCACATCAGCCAACCTCACCTCCTCACTCACCCAGATCCCCTTCAACATCCTTCCTCAAACCTTCAAGGACGCGTTTTTGATCACCACGCAACTTGGCACTCACTTCATCTGGATCGACGCCCTCTGTATCATCCAAGACTCTCTGCATGACTGGGAGATTGAGTCGGCCAAGATGCCCTACATTTACTCCCTTTCCAGGTTCTGCATCGCTGCTGATGCCACTGCCGTCGCTGAAGGCGGCTGCTTCAACAGCCACAACCACTCCCCTCAGCATCCCCGTCGAAAGGAAGCCGCACCTCTGATCATCCCATCCATGCTTGCATCCACCTCGCAAATCAGTCGTCTGTATATCTACCCCCGGCATCACCATTCCACCAACTCCCAAGCCCCCATTTCCGACGCCCCCATCTCCACCAGAGGTTGGTGCTTCCAAGAGCGATTGCTTTCCCCTAGAACACTCCATTACACCTCGGAGCAACTCTACTGGGAATGCCGCCAGGACTCCAAGTCTGAGGACCTCATCAACAATACCCAAGGCCAGCCATGGGGCACCATGCCGGGCGCGCTTGCCCAACTATACGACCCTACGTTTCGCCCCGAGCACGTCGTGAGAACGTGGTACAAGTCTATCGTGGCACCTTACAGCCGGAGGAGTCTGACGAAAGAAACTGATCGACTCCCTGCCATTGGAGGGGTGGCCAGGGTGTACGCTCACCTGCTCTCCCAAGCGGAGAAGCGGATCAGGAACGCGGAGACACAAACCTGGGTTGAGGGGTGGGTGGAGCGTCTGAAGGTGAAGCAATATGATCTGGTCGAGAATAGCGCGTATATTGCCGGGATATGGGGTCATCAAATTGGTCATGGGCTAAGCTGGAGGAGAAGGAAGGGGACAAAGAAACCTGTGGCAGGGCATGGGCGGAAGAGGACCAACACGTTTAGCTGGGTGTCTGTTGATGGGCCGGTGGAGCATTTCTATGGATATATTGAGGCGACCAGGCTAGTGAAGTGGAATGTGCCGCTGCTGAACCCTCTTGATCCCTTTGGTGGAGTGGGCGAGTGCGAGATCACGTTGGAGGGGAACGTTATCGAGGGGAAACTGGGGTATTATCATCATGGTGATGCTAATGCAGGAGAGTGGCGGGTGTTTGTCGATATACCACCGGACGGCGAGCTTGACCATGGGACAGTGGACATCGGTAGCGTGGACATTGACGAAGAAACAGATGAGTTGGCTGACGTCAAAGCTTCCAATGGGTTGGTAGTCCGGGATGTTTGGATCCTAGCAACCTCTATGCGCAACACACTAGACGTTTATGCTCTAGTGCTTGTACAAAGTGTGGAAGACGATGGCAAGGTCAGATACCAGAGGTTGGGACTTTTGTGGATCAAGTCTCCGGGCCGGATGCCAGTGGCCGGCCGAGCTCCGAGACATACATATAGAGGGGTGACTTGCCGGAATACCTGTCCGCTGTGCTCTTCCATGGTCGACTCTCACGGGAAAGAGTTTCACTACAAGACGCTGGCGTTGTTGCAAATGAACCGTGACGAGGCTTTTCAGCAGATTGTCATTGTGTAGAATACTACCGCGCATAGAAAAAACTAAAGTGGTCGAGAGCCGTATTGACTATCTTGTACTTAGGTCATCTCATCCGACTCAGATTGCCTCCATGTTGCTTGTCAGGAAGAAAAGGTGACAGTCACTTGGGCATAGCCTGACAAGGAGCACTCATACAGTTGTATCCAGCTTCCAAGCTGTGAACGCGATATGCAAAAAGATGCGAACAGAAGACAAGGCTACCTAGATACAATGCAACCCACCTTTTGACAAAGATACCCAACTCGGACTTTTTTGCGTTCGGTCCGAGTGGCTGGAGCTGTCCTGTAATGCTACCATACCCAGGTTCCGGAGTTCTTTATTCTGAATACTCAAGCCTGATATAGCTTCATTCGACAAACCTGTTGATCAGTTCAGTTGAGCGTTGCCACGATTTCCTTTTCCATGCAGCGTTAGGCGTAATCTCGCGTATCCTGCTCCATTTTCAAGCCCGCGAAGTCCTCCTCATGTATATGCACACCTCAGCAGCGGTTTTCTTCCGGGGGCTGAGCCAATGAACGACCACGCAATTTCCAAGCTCGGGTTAGTCCACCCATTACTCCCACCTCACCAATTTTGTGGATGTCTGTGACCAGAAGAATATGGCAGAGTTCTCCACAAATTATTGGATATTTGGCGATCTTTGTGACCTCTTGGCGAAAACACAGTCATTCGTGGCTGGCTGAAATGGATAACAAGAAGGTCGGGTATGTGAACGTGCGTCTCGGGCTCAAAACCTGAACCGACTGAGCGCGAAATGCGTGATGAACCACCTACCTACTGAAGCGAGGAAGAGAACGTGGACTTGAACGCCCAACCACAGCCCCACCATCCATCCTACCTTACCTACCCATCCCATATGTGGAACAAAGAACCCATTGCAGTAAAGCATTAATTGAAGTCTTATGAAAGAAAATCAGACTGTTCAAACAACATGAAGTGTAGGTAGGAAAGTCGTCACATATACACCGAGCACTGGGGAAGGCCGTAGGCCTTCGGGGTTCTCCGCAGGGCGCAGCATTACTCAGAAATCTATATCCCTTTTCATTCCACGTTGTGAGTCGCTAAGATGAGCTCTTCATGCACATAATATTGGTGAGACCTAGACAGCTGAACCGCGCTCTAGTGAGCTAGGCAGGGCCTAGACCAAGGGGACCAACCCCACTTTTCCAGACCATGTATCAACATTTTGTTATCCATTGGATGAAGTCCACGCTCGACAGAAGCTCCGTTATCCGTTGAGGCCCAACGAGTGTCCTTTGACACCTCGGAATTTTCATGATCGAATTGGATTCCATAACAAGTTGGAGATTGTCCGCTGCACGGTTCGGTTTCAGATTGATAGGTATCTTTGATGGCCGGAGGCAGTACCTAGGTAGGTACTTAAGGTATTAATACCCCGTGTTCTCTTTCTGGGTTTCTCCCTCTCTCCAAGGTAGCATGGCCTGCCTATTTCTGCCTCATGAATCACCTTGAGCACACATTCCAAGCACAGGATCACCTTCACAGGATTCCCCTCATATACCCAATATCCAGTATTCAGCCGCCATGTCCCAACACTCTCATCCGCCCTCGACCAGCTCCTGGCACCGAAGCGTTGACGAGCGCCTCTGTCTCATTGCAGACGGACTCTCCGATTACGATGACACCCCGAGAAACAGTCTCCCTACCAAAGATAGTATCCCTCTTGGACAGAAGCTTCCTGGTCTTGGCCCCCTCCTCAGAGACTATCTTAACCCAGACGTCACTGTTGAGTCAGCGGACTTCCACAAGCGGCTGCTTCGTGTCTTTCGCGAATCCGAGTACGACTCTGCCTACGGGAAATGCTTGGAGCGACTGAATGCGGATGAAAGAGACCGCGTGGAAAAGTTCGTCGCGGATGACAAGCCTCTCGAAGAGGTGTCGGATGGTTTCGACATGAGCGTCAGTCTGGGTGTTCGTGAGCACCTTCAAGACCTTACGGGGGTCTCTGGCTTCCAGGTTTCGTCCAGTGGAGTTCAAGCAGTGCGGTTTCCTGCAGCCCCTGGGGCCAACGGCACCGAGAGCGTTCATCTAGACGCCCGTTCGTTTACTCCGGTGGACGTTGATGGCCTTGCTGGAGACGACACTCTCGATGCCTTACACAAGAACGGCCGCCTCCACAACTTTATCCAGAAACTCAAGGATATGTTCTCTGGCCACAAAAAGGAGAGCAACGTCATAGTAGGCCTGCCTCTATCACCTTGACAGAGATACACAAGGCTAACCATCGGTTCCAGGTCTACGAAAACGTGCCCTTCAAAAACTGGGGCATGGTCGTCGACTACATACCCCACTACACCTGCATCCCCTCCTCTGTCGCCGGTGTCCAGCACATTGTCAGATTTGCACGCGACCACGACATGTCTGTCCGCTGTGCGGGCTTCCGCCACTCCTGGGCGCCCATCTTTGGCCGCCAGGGGCAAATCACCATCTCTCTCCTCTCCCTGGCGGAGGCTACCAGAATTCCTAATTTCACCGCCATGGCCAAAGCCCTGCCGGAGTGGCTGTTTCGCAAGACCGAGCTGCAAACGCTGGAAGTAGTCTCTGGCACGCCACGAGTCAAAGGCAATGTGCTTGTCAGAATTGGCGCCAGCGCGACAAATGAGCAGCTGAGGCGGTGGTGCATCGAGAATAAAAAGTACTCGTACCCGCTTAATGTGATTATGGTGGAGATGACGGTCGGGGGGACGAATGCACCTATTTGTCACGGGGCTGGGAGAAGACATCAGACTTTGAGCGACCTGGTCAGGAAGGTGGAATACGTCGACTGCAACGGGAAGCTTCAAGCTGTCGATGACTCGAGACTTCTCCGGGCGGCGGCGGGGTGCTTTGGTCTCATGGGTGTCGTAACCCATCTCACGCTGGAGTTTGAACCCATGAGCTACGCGCTGATGAAGCCGGAGAAGATCCCTGTTTTGAGGGCTGTTCCTCCGCCGGATGATATGGCTATGGATAAGATTCCCCCTGCTTTGAGACTGCCGAACTGGGCGCCGGAGCAGAGGGCGGCCGACATCAAGAGGTTTGAAGAGTTGGCGACGAATGGGTTCTACTCGGAGTGGTTCTGGTTTCCGTACTCGGATTTGTGCTGGGTTAACTGCTGGGATGCGACTGCTGACCCATCCAGAACTGAGGATTACCCCTCGAATGCGCAGACGTTCTTCATGTTCATCAGCCAGTTCACGATGAACGTGCTGCAGAATGCAAAGATATTGAACGAGCTGGTCGAGAAGTTGCATATGGACGAGGCAGCGGTGACGCTCATCTCCAAAGCGGCAATGTTTACTCTTCCGGCTTGGGACGAGCCGGTCAAGACCTACCTGCCGGATGCGTTGCACTTCCAGAGAGGGATTCAGAACGTCAGGGTGTTGGATGTGGAGGTTGAGATTCCGCTTCAACCATCGGAAACTGATCCCTCGAAGCCTGACTATGCGGTTGTCAGAAGGGCGTGGTGGGATGCTATTTTGACCTGTTATGCCCACAGCAGTAAGGGGTGCCCGCAGAGGATGCCGCTTGAAATGAGGATCATGGGGGGCAGTGATATCGTCATGGCCCCTCAGAAGGGGAACAAGCTGGGAACGTGTGCCATTGAGGTGCTGACGCTGGAGGCGGCGAAGAATTTCTGGGTGCCCTATGCGGAAGAGGTGGTTGGGAAGTGGTTGTCCTACTGTGATAGGGGAGGGAAGAAGATCAACACGAGACCTCACTGGGCAAAGCAGTGGGATGGGATCAATGTTGACGGGAAGCCCTGGGTGGAGAAGATGAAGGGAGAGGATTACAGGTTGGAAAAGGAGGAGTTTAAGGAGCTGTTGGCTGAGATTGGAAGGAAGCATGGCTGGTCATTGAAGGACTTGAAGAGGAGGTTTTCGAACGACTTTTTTGATGCCTTTTACTTTGATAACATCTAGAACTGGGGAGATGAAGACGCATGCAATGGAGGTTATTCATTTGCTTTGCAGGGCTGTCGCCCCTCATCGTTCACCGCTTGCATTCTAGACTCGTTCGCACGCCCATCATCATGAAAGGTCCAACAGAGATCAAGTGAAGGGGCTGGAAGATGGTCCAGTTTCCCGTCCATTACCGCCTCGAGATCTCGGGCAATAAAAATGCAAAACAAGTGTACGAAAGATGATCAGGTTACTGCTAGCTGAGCCCTGCCTTCACTATGCTGGCGGATTGGCTGACTCGTACAATCCTAGTATGTCGTGAGGCATGATTGTGGTGGAAGCATGGAGCCGACGTCAGCACGATGGCGAATCGGGCAGTTGTAAACAGGCTAGATGCCAAGGTGGGCATTCTTGCCATTTATCATCTCAGAATAGAGTGGGATCGCGTTGAAGGTCCCTGAGCTGACATGATGACTAAAGTAAGAGCTAGCTATGATCGTCTTACACATCATCAAACCTTCGGCAAAGATCCAGTTCCTGTGAAGAGACCTGAATGGTCTTGAATGGAATGATAAAACTATCGAGAAAGGTATATATACCTTCCCCCTCGCTCACTTTCCCTCCCATTTTTTGTCACCCTCAACCCATCAAACATTATCCTCTTGTCAAGTTCTGGCCGCAGCACGCGTAGTACTTGAAAATGGTCTCCTTCACCACCCTCTTCTCCGCCAGCCTTGGCCTCATTGCTCTTGCCAACCCCGTTGCCGCCCTCTGCAAGCCCGCTATCGGCATCCAGGTCTTCAGGGACGATTGGGCTTACACCATTCCCTGCGGCAGAAACGATTGTAACGCCCCCGAAACCACCATCACCATCTACCACAATGACCGCACGACCACCAGCAAGACATTCCCTGGTTCGATATCCTTTGGCTTCAAGGAGTCCCCCCAGGCCCAAGTGTATGAGTGGGACTTTTACGGCAAATACCGCGATGACCCCGGCCTGGGATTCCACGTTTATGGCACCAGATGCCCAACCTTGCCTAGCAACCAGGGCTTTGGATGCTTCGAACAGGCTTTGAAGATCGAGAGAGGATACCTTCCCAAGGCTACCTGGGCCAAGTTCAAGTGTGGCACGACCTGGTAATCGCACGCGAAGATGCCGAATGGGGTGGCAATGGATGTAAGCATCCTCTTGATCGAGATGATTCTCGACATTACGATTCTGGGGGCAGGGATACCAGCAACAATCCGGTCTTACTTCAGGAAAGATATCGGGGTCATTGTTTACTTTGGGGATGGCTTTCAGGGGCTCAGGGGTTCAAACATCTTGTGTGTGCCGACCTGTCATGATCAATCATACATAGATACAACTCAAATCGGACTACACTGTCTGGAAACTTCCTTTCTACCTCGTAATTTTGGCCTCACTGAAGGGCGCTGGAGGTGACCTACCCTCTGTTGCCATTAAACAAGTCATCCTAACCTCTTCAGAATTCGTCATCATGGGTTCCCATCCCGCGTCCGCGTCTCGTATCCGCCATCCGGGCCAAGTTTTGCCCGTCCCTGTCACGTCACAATCGTTAGCGCCTCATGAGCATTGCTCCCCTGCCTCCATCACCAAATCTCATTGGGCGCCCCACGAATTCTCGGTGGCTTGGCTCGCCCATCCTTCCCGCCTCGACTCGATCAGGTTTCATTTGCTCGACTACCGTTGCGATCCCTTTCACGACGGTCAACACCATGACGGCTTTTTTTGTTGCATGAATCCCACCTTCTTCGCGCCCTTCCATGATCGCCACTAACCGCTCACTCATTGCTGTTCGTTAACAGCCCATCGGGACACCATTCATACTTTCTCTCCCCCTGGTTTGCTCTAGAGAATGCCGACCTGGCCGTGGGCGCAAAGATGGCGTGGACAGAACGGGGTGTTGCGCTCTTTGCGTGTGCCACTACCATGGTCGTACTAGCTGCCACAGCCGTCGTCCTTCGCTTAATCTCACGTGGTTATGTCCTTCGTAGGCTAGGCTTAACAGACTGTTGTATCCTTATCACGTTGCTCTTCTCCATCGCCAACACCGTCGGCGTTGCTATGCGTTGGTCCACCCTGGTTTTTTTACTCAGCACCGTTACTGACGCGTTCCAGACATCACCCACGGACTCGGTCGTCACCGAACAACCATCACCCGAGACCAAATCGAGGGCTACCGCTTCGTAAGACCCCCCTTTTCTCCACCATCAATCTCAAGCTTCACCGCTACCCCCCCTAAGTGGATGTACATCGACATCATCATCGACGGAACAAGCCTCATCCTCACCAAAATCTCCATCCTCCTCCTCTTCCTCGACGTCTTCGTCATCGCCACAGCACGAAAAGTGACGTACCTTTTTCTTACACTTGTCATATGCTACGGCATCTACCTATTAACCTCCAAATCCTCTTCCGCATCCCCATCCACTCATTCTGGGAACTAGCCGCTTCGAAAGAGAGATGTCTCCCCTCAGACGCGAAATACTACGCCGACGCGGCGGTGAATATCGCGCTTGACTTTTCGATATTTTGCATCCCTATCCCTGTGGTTAGGGGGATGACTACCCTGCCGTGGAGGGAGAAGTTGTGGTTGTATTTGGTTTTTGCTCTGGGGTTTTTGTAAGTCTTACCGGGGGGTTGAACTGGGCGAGGTGGTTTGCTGACTGTTATGCAGTGTCTGCATTGTCTCTTGCATCCGCCTTCATTTTCTGTGGTATGTCACCGAGTCACCGGACAAACCATTTTGAGGGAACTCACATGGCGTATTGGTCTACCATTGAGATGAATGTGGCGATTATTCTGGCTTGTATACCCACGCTCAAGCCGTTGATGAGCAGGGTTTGTCCGTGGGTGTTGGGTTCGGCTGCGGTGCCGGATGGGACGTCTCATGATTCCTACGCTGCATTGTGGGAGGGGGAGTCTGGGGGTTGGTTCCCCTGAGCTGAGGTATTTTGGGGGGAGGGATCCGGAGATGAGGATGGCGTCATGAGACTTTTTGTATTCATATTTTATTGCTGCTGCGAGGGTACGGGATTGAAAGGCTGCATGATTGTTAAAGTATGTGGGGAACAGAACGACTTGAAATGGGACGGACATGGGCATGAGCATAGGGAATCTGAGATTGATGGAATGGGATGTAGGATTTGGACTGGGATTATATGAATTTTGCATGTTCGAACTAGATGTCTACAGGTAAGTAGATTTTGAAAGTTGATAGAACTACATATACTCGCTGGCGGTGGAGAACATCCAGACTATCATTTCGAGGGAAATCCAATGCTGATTCTGGAAGGCATACTGACAAAAACTAAGGAAGATTTCTCTCCCATTTTTACATTCACTCCCCCCTATCTTCCAATGGCCTCAGGCGCATAAGCGCCAACAGAAAATAAAACTTGAAAATAAAACGGGGCGGCAAAAATAAATTCCGGGATCCTAGTGCCAATGATGCATACATGGAGAATGCATTCCCGAGAGGCGTGATAGTCAACTGCCCATTCTACTCTTTTATGACTGGGTAGGTACTAACTTTGCCAGCTCGTTTTCATGATCGTGCTATGCTACCTTAAGTCACGCCTTTGCCGAAGATTCGGCTGAGTTTATTGATCCCTGCGGCACAGCGGAACCCCTCGACCTCGCCTCACCGCGTTTTGGATAAATATAAGGTTGTTTACGCCCTCGAGCCCAGCCATAGATCCCAGATCCTCGAACCTTTGCCTCTCTAGACTCATCGACTCCTTATGCGTTTGACAAGACGGTGACACTTGCTGCGCGGCAACGAAGACCCCACACCCAAAAGGGCCACCAGGGGAACACCAGTAAGATCTTGTACGGACCAATTATATCCCTACCACAGTTGAACACCTCAAAGAGTGCAGGACCTCGGTTTAACACTAACCCACCAGTTCCAAATCTCTGTGGCAAGCTAGCTGGAGCGCGTGATAATGCTACGCCTCCTTCGAACCACCGCTGGGCCCAATTGCTATTGCCACAAGCTTATTTTACGTTATCGACTAACCTGTCGTTTTGGAAGAAGCTGCAAACCATGATATTACCACCTAAACGGGGAAATATGCATCGTCTTGATGCAGGATTGAAAATGCAAGAATTATTTGGTCTCTAAATATACTCCGTCCCCCACACCCCTTTGGTAGTAAAAAAGAAAAAGAAATATAGGAGAAAGAAGATGAAGGTCGAAATGTTAAACATCTCGAGAAAATAAAAATATTATAATACGTCCTGAGTAACAGCCAAGAACTATTTTGCGTCCTTGCATAGTAAAAGCGCTTGTATGATATTCTGGTGGTAACCATAATACGTTCTGGTTATTGCAAGTAATCCAGCGGTAGTCTTGTCCTAAACCATACGAATAACACACCGGACTACTCAGCTGATTTAGACTTTCCATGGTAGCCGTGGCTATCTGGATACGCCCGATATTCGTGTTAATGTAAGCGTTGGTATAGTCGAACGATAGACAGGTAGCAGTTGAACCAACATTTAACGTCTGTGTGCAGGTCCCCGATGCCGTATCCCAAATCTTAATGGTGTTGTCGCTCGAGCCCGATGCCACACGCTGGCCGTCCGGCGAGAACGCGACCGAGTGGACCCAGCCGCCATGGCCCTCTAACGTCTGTGTACAGGTTCCCGATGCCGCATCCCAGATCTTAATGGTGCCGTCGATCGAGCCCGATGCCACGCGCTGGCCGTCCGGCGAGAACGCGACCGACCAGACCGAGCCGCCATGGCCCTCTAATGTCTGTGTGCCGGTTCCCGATGCCGTATCCCAGATCTTGATGGTCTTGTCGCCCGAGCCCGATGCCACGCGCTGGCCGTCCGGCGAGAACGCGACCGACAAGACCGAGCTGCCATGGCCCTCTAACGTCTGCGTGCAGGCATTCCATTCCGCTTCTACAACTGATATTGTGCTAATCCAGCCAGGCTCTTCCTTCTTGAAGATTTTCTTTATCATACTGTCAGTCGGTGCAAATACAAGGGCTGATGTGTATGCTTGAAGAGGGGCTTTCTCAATTATCATCCTGTAGGACAGCGCAAACCGATATCCATCCCGGACGATAGCTATTAACCTCCCTCGAATGGTATGTCCCTATACTACTGTTAGACCAGCCTATAGCATTTAGTGGTCTCATACTTACCAATAAGCTCTCTAACTGTCGTATGGCATTGATGCCCTCTGGTAAAGCTCGGAGTAGACTAAGAGCTTCAAGCCAATAAAGATACTTCGTTGTAAGGAATCTGTGGATATCCCCATCGTCTTGTAGAAGATGAACCCATTTTGAGCTTGTGCTAGAGACCAAATCACGTAAATGGTCAATCCAGTAGATGCATGAATATCGTACCATTGCCAGCGGGTCCGGGTCTGGCACTCGGACGTTGTCAATCAAGAATCCCGGTGCATTTAAGCAGTATATGTCTCGTCGCAGCTTCTGAGACATAACATTCAGTGACCTCCAGAAGATGATATAGCTCACATCCTCTATCCCAGTAGGGAAAACCAGCTCGAAAGCTTCTTGAGAAGCTTTGTTGGAGGCTTTGTCCGAAGCCGTGCCGAGGAGAAAGTCCTTGGCCGATTGGTGGACGAAATAGACCGTTCGTTCTCGGATGATCAAGAACGAGCCGCAAAGCTTAACAATCTCTTCCAAGGACTCCGGATCATCGGAAACGTCATCCGGCATCTCAACAAGAGAGGCGAGTTCATCAAGGCTGATAGGTCGGCGAACGGCTGCGGCGACGGCAAGAATCTGCTTGCAAAGCTCTGCATCCTCGGAATGGCCAATCTGCTCCAGCATCCGCGCATATAAAGAGTCTAGTCCGCGCGGAAATGTCTGTAACTTTGCTAATATATGCCGCTTCTTAACCTTCGGATCCGCGAGCGCCTGGCAGACCAACGCCACCCACAGAAACGTGCCATTTGCGTGGGAGTGTAAGTAATCCCGAATCTTGCCTATCATGTTGGCATCGTGTTTCGTTTTCGATGCCAGTTGATCTATCCTGTTTTGGATAAATGCGTTGACAGCAGTAGAAATAGATTCGGCGTTGAGCTCGAGGCTTAGCCTCGCTTTCTGCGTGGCTGTTTCCAATTGCTCTTCGATATCCGGCCAATTGCGACTCGAGACGATCCACTTGATTGGGGAGGATGTGCATGAGGTCCGGGTGATCAGCTCGAGAAGCTGCGGCAAGTCTGTCACGCATTCATCAAGCGCGTCGATGATCAAATACGTCATTCTCAAGCCGGGATCTTGTAGAATGCTAGTAAAGATCTCACACAGGACAATCCATACGTTAGGACCCTCAAACATCTTTTTTCCTGCATGATCATAAGGTCGTCGTACGTGTGAGATGAGTGCTGGTTGTTGGCTGACAAGAAGGTAGATTAGACCGCGGAGGACGGCAGTGGCATTATTAATGCGCGAGTCGGTGGCTTGGCAAAAGAAGAAGGATAGAAGGCCAGGTGGTGTAGACTTTTTTAATTCGTCGATGATGCCGCAGAGCAACATAGTCTTGCCTTTGCCGGGGTCGCCGTTGATCCAGAGCAGCCGTTGATCGTCACCGTCGTGCCATTGTTGGAATTGGACGTTGCTGAGAACCCAACAGTAGGAGTCTTTCAGGAGGCCGCCCTTGGCAGCTTCGATCCGCTTCTTATCGTGGCGAGGGTCGGTGACACGCAGGTCGGCCAGACAGCCGTCATCCTTCCCAATCTTCTCTCGCAACCGCTCAAGGGCCTTCTCTTTTCCTTCGCCGTAGATAAGAGGCAGATGGACGTCGAAGATACCGAAAAGCGAGTATGCCATGTCTTCTTCACGTGTTGTATTGCGTTGCTTCATCCATGCCATCCGGTCATGGACACTGAAATCAGACAAAGGACTACCTCGGAGGGCCTCGAGGGGAATTCCCGTTACGTCGTGGATCATTCGCTCTAGAGAGTTCCTGTCTCCAATACGCGCCTTCTCCCTTGAAAAGAACTCGACTGATGTCGGAGCAATAAGTTCTTGGAGGGTCCATCCTCGAGTAAACCATTTGCATTTCTGAAAAGCCCATTTCCAACTAGGATCGCCGTCGGCGTCTCGCTTGTCCGTTGAGACGTCTGTAAGATAGACATAGCACTTAGCCGCATCGCGATACCACCTGAACATAGAGTTGATCGCCTCCTGAAGCTCAGTGCTGTTGGACTTATCGATACAGCATGTGTCTACCCAGAAGAATTTCAGCCCGTCACGCCAAGCTTGATCTGCACAAAACCGGATCTTGTTGTAGCCGAGTTTGCTTACGGCTCTGCCGTCCTTTAAATCTTTGTAGCTGACTTCCTCCTCATCGGGCCCCCATGTGTGTGAAAGAATCGCATATGGCGGAATCTTGCCGCTGGGCAGGTCCTTCGTCGGGCGGATCTCGCCGGCATCATCACGTTCCAGGAGACGCATGGTTCGGGACCGCCGAGGCTCGGCCGGAAAGGTAAAAGGGTGGAGCGGTAGGTGCGATAGATAGACGAGGATATTTGCGATCTGCGGGAACAAAATAATTAGAAACTGAAGTAAATAGCGCGCCGCGATTGTCTGGTGTTGGAATTTATCTTACTGGGTAGTTATAGTGTATGAGGAAGACCCTTTGTAATGTGTTTAAGAACTATCGCGGGCTTAGACCAATCGTGATGAGGGGCGCGCAAGGGTAGAGTAGGAGAACGCAAGCTGTTCAGAGATGCAGCTGCTGTTCGAGAGAGACACGGGACGGTTGACCACGATATTGCGAGTCTCGGTGGGCTCGAAGCTTTGAAGTGATTGATGTTGCTATTGCAACCGGCTTTGGGCTTCCTCGACCCCTCATGTTGGGCGTTGATGGATTGGCAGCTAGGCAGCGCACGCAAAAGCACGGGACGTCCCGAACCAATCAGAACTAATTATCTTGTGAAGGTAACTCGTTGAGACAGCACCTTGCCGTGCACCGGTTTGGCTACACCCTTTTACAACCCAGACTAACCTTTAGAGAATCACTCTTAGAGAGACTGGGCTCTGAAAGCGCCACAACCTTGCAAGTACTACGAAGTACTATTACCCTTGAATTTATTTACAGATTTCAATACTGCAAATTAGAATCCAAAGCTATCAGAACAAAAATACTAAACGCATTTGTAAATAGAGAGGTGCTTTGTATAGACTACGGAAGGAGGATCTTGTATGACGGACCCCTATCTGAAACCTCTAAAAGGGATATACAGTTTGAAGGTAAACTCTAGATGAATGGTTCGGTACAGCTAAACAGTGCACAACGGATAGTGGTCCTTAGTGTCACGACGCTGACACATGCGGGGCGCAGAACGCCACCCCGGCCAATCAGTGGATAAGCCAATAAGAGGTTCACAATTATCACGGGTGTCACTCTTGAAAAGTGATAATCGGTCTATATATATGGAGAAACTAGATAGCTTGTAGATAGTTCCGCAGTATGCAATCACAGCTTGTATTCACGGTATCTTGTGTTTACATTGAGATATCTTGTTGTGCACTGTTTAGCTGCCACCGAACCAATTGTCAGAAGTTACCTTCAACCAGTATCCCTTTCAGAGGTTCTGTACAGGGGTTCGTCACAGTACTGGAATGACATAGCTTTGGCAGCTAAGCAGCGGGTAACGATAACGGTAACGACGACTGTAGGGGCAACGGTAGCGGCAACAACAGCAATAATAACAATAACGGGAGCAAGGGCGGCAATAAAGGTAGTAATAACGATATGGATCAATCCATGCTGGTGCATTTGTCAATATAGTTATCCAGCAGCCAAGGCCATCTTATCGGTTCACATCTAATTACCCCGCAGCCTATCAGCCAATCGAAAAAGACTGCCCCACATCCTGCTGCTCAAATGAAAGGGCCGGAAGCGGGGATGCAGCAAGTCTCCAATAAACAACTTGGGTTATGAGCCGCACGCTGCTCACGAGTTGAACCTCACTTCTATGTATCATGGATTCGGAGCGCCAGGCATGATGAGTCTCAGCTTGCAGGGGAGCAAGTAACGTTGTATCTCGTTTAATCAAGAGGTGTTGGCGGCGATCGCAATGTTGGCGCATGCACACGTCTCATCGATGAACAGGCTGCACGCTGCTCGCGAGTCGAACCTCACTTCCATGGCACACGTTGCCTGTGAAGGCAGTTAAAATATTTGGCCGATGCTCCCCTATTTGCTTTCATAGCTGTTTCTTGTCCTCGACAAAGCCAGACCCAGCTTACTTCTATTTATCATCAATTCACTATCACCTTTTGCTTTGAGCTTACATTGAATGCAACATGTGCCAATTTATTAAGACCACTTTGACCTGCGACCATCCCTCTAAACCTTCATTCTGGATCCCTGAGAGTGCGACGGAGTGTGAAGATGCCGTCAGAGCTGCTGTTCATGATTTGAACGGTCAACTGCAGCGCTGCACTGGATACAACTATACGACAAGCACTAGATATGACACCGGCCATTGCAACAACAGCTCCTGCCGCATGAAGGCATTTAGAAAGTGCGGTTGGAAATGCCACATATGCCAGTCCGAAGTTTCTGCTGGTCTCGATACCTGTGCCTGTACCCACAGGGCTTGCTACCTGTGCTCGATCAAAAATTGAAGTGAATGATCAGTTGCATCTTCCCGTGCTGGTCTTGTAACACCGACGGGACTAAAAAAGAACTATAATGCAGGCAGCCTTGATTGGTAACCAGGTCGGGCGGAGGCGGTGAAGGCGATGACTAGCAAACAGACCTGTCTTTAGGTTCCCTAATAAACATCATTGTCACACATTTCCTCAACCAACAATGGTGACGCTCTCCTACCCAAAACATGTTACTTACGACGTGCCATCATGATGCAAAACTTCTACATTAAATCTGTCGTTTGGGATTTGACTTTCAATTTGGAGAGCGACATCACGCTTGAGATAGGCTATGGAGGCGCAGCCTTCCGTATCTGCTACAATGCACGCACCCTCGCCGCCTCACCATATGCCCTGGAACAGCATCACGAGTTATACCGAATTCTATATAAGGATGATCCGGATGGAGGATCCTGGCAAGCGGTGGAACGACTCCGAAAACCATTTGAAGAACTTATGACCCAGATGGCCCCAAATCCACCAATTGAGTTAACACGGTATCTACACAGTTATCTTTACCCGCCGTGGTTTATTCTCGAAGCAGGAGTAGCTGAGAGCGGGCGCGTTCAGCCATATTTCAAGGCGGCCCTCTCGCGACAGGAGTTCGGACGTCCGGGTGAATATGTGAACAACGACTTCCTTCAACCGCATTTGTCTCCGCTGCTTGACTCGAAGCTTAACAAGTACTCATCTCATCATGTACAAGTCCTGGCTCAGACATCGCAGCTAGTTCCATCTAGGGTCCTTGTCGACGGCACTATCTACTTCTTCAAGACTTGGATATCAGGTCGGGTGCATGGATACCACGAGCTACAGTTATATAGGAAGATCCTAGCGAATACCGAGGCAAGCCCGCCCCTTCTCGCTGGCCCACGCATCTGTCGCCTTCACGGTCTAATTATCGACGATGACGATGATGTCCTCCAACACTATCCGCTTGATAGCGACGAGGAAAATCATTCCGGGACACGTTTGGTCGGACTACTTCTCACGTGCATCGAGAATCGAGGCACTTTGAAGGATTTGGCGCCTTGGTCGGACGACTGTACAAATGAGGATCGGCTTCGCTGGTCTGGGCAAATACACCATTCGGTCGAATGTTTGCATAACGCAGGTGTAATTTGGGGAGACGCTAAGCCCGAGAACGTCTTGATTGATATGGAGGGCGATGCCTGGCTCATTGATTTTGGCGGTAGTTATACCCCGGGCTGGGTTGACGAGGATAAGCGGGAGACTGTGGAAGGAGACCGACAGGGTGTGCAAAGGATTGATGATTGGCTCACCAGATGGTCCCGCCAGCCGGTTACTCGTATCAAGCGGAGTGGTGAAGGGGGTGGGGAAGGAGGAGTGTGATGGTTATGGAGGGTGTTGTCATGGTGATGGAGGGAGGGGAAGGGGCTGTGGTATGGTGAGAATCAGGGGGTGATTTGATGGAGAGGGGAGGAGGCAGGGAGGGAGTGTTGAGGGGGGTAAGGAGGTGGGGTTGTGAGAGTAATGAAGGGGCGATGGGATGCGAGGTTGATGCATGTAGTGTCTAACTTGTCTGTCTGTCCGTATGTCTAAGAGAGAATTAGAATCCGGGGAGTTCAATTGGGACCCATGGGCGAAGCACGGGGAAAGGTACCACATAACGGAGAATCTAAGCTCCGCTTCCCCAGCCAAGAGGTTTGCTAGCACAGTCAAACCTCGCGTGATCTGTGCGCCAGCCCCGCCATTTAATGCGACCGAAACAGATCGTTGGCAGCGGGACTGCCCTTTTACAACCGGCAAGCAGTCATGGCTGCAACGTGTTCGATTCCAACAGAGGACGCAAAAGTATCTATCCAAGAGGCCGGCGTGTATTTCCTAGAGGATTCCCTAGTAGGAAGTCAGGTCGTCGAGTTTAATGAAAGAGGTTTGCCTACTAAGACGAAATATGGCTTGGAATTCTGCGCTTAGAACAGGCCGACTCCCAAATCTGCATAGTTCATTTGTGATGCAGTGGAGGTGAGGCCATTTTCCAGAGTCCCGACACCATGCGGTCTTCATCTTAACTCAAAGCCAAGAAAGTCGTCAAGAAGAGCAGACAAGTCGCCATCTTGAAATCGAAAAAGGCATGACTGGGAGCGTTTGACTTCTGGGCCGGGTTTTAGGCGAGTGAAACCGCTACGCAAGCGAGTCAGCCACAACATCTTGCCTACGGTCCAACCCGCTCAGTACTCACCTGGAACCGTCACAAGCGGAGTGGCAAGAGACGTTGTCGTTGTTCCCAACTCCAATTTCTCCACACCCTGAGTAATAGCCACCATCTTATACCCCAACGCGATCCCATCCATGGCCGTTTTCGGCGTAGGCCCCGCGTCTCCAACAGAAGTCCACGTGCAATCAAGCCGGTTAGACGGAAACCCATCAATATAAACCGCCCCAAGTCTATGAATGTCCCCGTTGTCTGGTTCCTTGATGCCGGATCCTAGAGGTGTGCAGGTCGCACGGTGAGATGTTGGAGTACCCTTGTAAGTCAGATCTTGCGTCGCGGCCGCGCTGTAAAGGGTGTCGCCTTCTACAAACGTCGCGGTGCCGACTAGGAAGTCCGTTGGCGAGCGTGTTTCGGGGGGTTGTTTTGATAGGGGTAACTGGGCAGTCTTTTTTGGCGCATGTGAGGAAGTATGTTGTTGTGCCGGATGTTTGGCCTATGACCGAGATGGCCGATCCGGGGAAGTCGAAGCCCCAGTCTAGGATGGGGACGGTGACGGGCTCCTGGGCATAGCATACCACCGAGAATAGGGCCATGGAAAGGAATTTGGACGCCATCGCTGGGGAATCTCATGAATGCATGGAAGACAGAAAAGAAAACAGGAAGAAAAAGGAAGAGCATAACAGCAACATGGGTAATCAATTGGTCCCTAAGTTGCTGTGGTTGTTCATGCAGATCTTGTTTATGCGGATCGTAATCGTTTTGCACAAGTCCCAACGCTAAGCCTGGTTTGCCACTCGGCCTAGGCTTGTTCGAGAGGGGAAGAGGGGCAAAGAGCAGTCTGGACGCGGTTGAGGCTCATGATTTGGGGAGGCCTCTCACCTGCCATGTAAAAATATGATCTGAGAGATGAAAGACATGCTCCAGTAAACGAATAAGAGTTATGTACTATTTGCCATCACCTACCTTGGTCAAGTTCATTAACCTCCACTCGTCACACTTCTCCTTAGATCCACCACATTCGACTAGTCGTTTTCCCAGTGAAGTTTGAGGTGCTGGTACCTGTGAGATGGCTTGTGAATAATGAGGTTTGGCCTTCCATATACTGAGAGAAGAAGGCGGTGAAACTGGTGAGAAACGGGTTGGCATCGGTGGTAGCAGGTCGGATGTCCTTGCGAGCACCCGGTTTCCATGTTTTCATCGACTTGAGGCAGTCATCATGTGCTGCTTGCTTTTCCTGTCGGCACTTCGCCTTTGACACCTCGAAATCATCACCGGGGTTTCTTGGGCGCTTGGAGACTCCTCGTGGCGATGTGATACTACTAGTTGGTGTCTTTGGACGAGTTGACGTTCGAACAGTTTGGGTCGATGTCATAGCTTTGACCCAGTCCAGTAATTGAGAATGGCATTCAGTACCTCTGGGGTAAACGTTGGGGCGTTCGGACAGTGGGATGCGGCATAGAATATGCTCGATCAAGGCAATGCCATTGGCAAGATCTTGTTCCGTGATAGAGAGTTGGTCCTTGAGGAGGATCGTGCTACCTGGTGTGATGGCATACTGCGTACCAAGTTGAAGCCGCTTCCGCTTGTCAGCCTTTTGTTCCAAATGGGCCATGTGTATGGGTAAACTTACAAATCTAACCATGTCTTTAACCAATTCTTCGTCGCCAGAGAAAAAAGTCTTGCGGAATTTGGTGAGCCTTGTAAATGGCCAGTCCAAGCTGTTCCAAGTTCTTATGCCTCGCTCCAAGTGTCATGTGGAACGTCAAGGTTGGTTTCTGCCAAAGTCTTTGCCTCTCGGTAATTGTGATTGCTTTCATGATCTCAGCTGCTCGTTCGTGCTGTGGAGGGGACTTTGGTTTGGTGGTCTGAGTTTGATGATATGGACGGCTCTCCCCTGGAGGGAAGAGTGGCGTCGAAACCTGCGGGCAGAGCTGCCTTGATATCGGCAAAGAGCTTCTCACGAGTCACGATGTGGATATATGGCTCGTTCTCATGAGCAGCAATGACCATGCCTACCAAGCTGTGAGTATCCTGCGTCACTACCCACGCCCCCGAACAATCAAGAGCTGCACAAAGAATTAACTTCCAGTACTACCTATTTGAATCCAAACATCTCAAAGGGCTCACCAGTGAGAATCCAGCAGCTACGACTGGACAGGACAGGAGAGAACCTATTGCAGTTTGCCACATTCTGGATAGCCACCGCGGTCGGGATATACACGCTGGCGAGCATCGCGCTTGGGGTTGCGTCAGTGGTGTACGCTGTCAAGGCGTACGATATGGGACTCAAGCAGTACCAGGTGGCGGTTTGGCAGTTTTGTCTTGATCTCGAACAGGCAAGCGACGTAGGGAATAGGAGGTGGAGGGAGTTTTGTTATGACGATGACAGTGTAATTAAGTGCTACCAAACACAGACGCTACATCGACTTTATATCTCACCGCTTATGGCTTCCACCCCCCAGTCCGATTCCTAAACAACCCCTCCGGATCAACCTCCTCCGCCACCTCCCTCGCCAACGCCCTATTCTCCGGCTTCAACCTCCCGAAATAATCCTGTCTGTAGAACCCATAGTTCATAAACACCGGCAAGTCAACATTGTCAGGTAATTTCCCCTCCGCCTGCCAGCTCAAGACCCTTTCCCGGATCCCGGTATATGTCTCCTGCATTTTGCCATCCATAAGGGGGTAATCCAACGGGTTGAGAAAAGCATAATTCATCTCAATAATCAGCTTATCCGCATCAGGATCAGCATCGATCAAATCAGGGGACTTTTCCCTCGCTGCGGCAGCAATGCGTTTAGGGAACGGTTGGTAGGCTATGCTAGCCACAATCCCGGGAACGGCGAGCGTGGTGAGGGAGATGTTTCTCCAGTGGGCGTGGATTCCCTCCAACACTTCGACAGAGTGAGTCGTGGACGGCAAGGGGATTGTTTCTGTCCCGATTTGGACTTGGAATCCTTTCAGCACGACCCAGTTGGAGAAGGTCATTAGGTCGGCGTAGGTGCGGGTTCGGGCGGTGTTGGCTATGGGGCCGATGGAGGTGAAGTTGGTGAAGGTTCCTGCGGGTGGGGTAGGGCCGTCGTAGAAGAGGAAGAGGATCCAGGAGTCGACGAGATTGACTTGTGCGCGCTCGGCCGTGACGATGACGGCGGCGCGGTCGTCGGTGTTGTATTCGGTGAAGTCGCGGACGGCTTGGAGGATCTTCTTGTCTGTGGCTGGGGTGCGGAGGAAGAGGAGGTTACCGCCCCAGACGTTGCCTTGTGGGTAGGCTTGGGTTTTGTAGTTGGTGACGATGCCGAAGTTGTTGCCGCCGCCTTTGAGGGCTTTGAATAGGGAGGGGTGGTTGGTTGCAGAGGGGTAGGTGATGGTGCCGTTGGGGAGGACGAGTTCGTATTCGAGGACGGAGGAAGCAGACCAGCCGTGTTGGGCGGACATGTATGAAAGACCTCCGCCGAGCATGAGACCGCCTGTGCCCGTGTTGCCGATGCGGCCGCCTACAAAGGTCCAGCCAGTGCCTTGGAGCTTCTGGGCCAGGCCGTCGAGACGGTTGCCGGGACCAAAGTCGAGGATGCCGGTTGCAGGATCTAGGTTGGCATGGTCGAGGTTCTGGGTCGAGATCAAGGGACCGCCGTCAACAGAAGCGTAGTAGTTGTTTGGGGAGTGGCCACCGGATTTCACGGCAAAGTGCTCGTCGTTGGTGTTGAGAACCGAGATGATGGTGGATACTTCGGCTGCAGACTTGGGGAAGATGATGCAGGACGGCTTGAGGGCGCTGCAGGATGCGGACCAGTACTCGGTTTGCTCGGCAATATATGTCGGCGAGATGGGTGCCGAGACTTCGATGTTGGTGTTTGCTCGAAGCTCGGAACAAGTATCTCCCTTCACCACCGAGATCAAAGAGGCAACGGCCACGAGGGAAGCCACAATGGACTGCATCTTGAGTTCTGCCTTGAAGAAGACTCGATGGGCCAACTGGTACTAAGATCCTAGATGCTTTTGGCTTCACTGACCCTTTTATCCTTGCTGTGTTCTACTTGACCCTCTTGTTATCGTCTAGACAAAGTCAACAATGACGTGACGTCCAGTGCTATCCCCAAACGGATTTTTCTCCGTCCTGTATTCCGGCAAGATCACCGTCATCTTGCATTCGAGCCCCCAAAACGGGCAGATGCCCCGTGGCGGGAGTTTGGATAAGGAGAATGGAACACGCAGTCAATAGTGAGACAATAACGGCGTGGAATGGTGAGAAAAGTCGGTAGCGAGCATGAAAACTGCTGGCTTACATGCAGGGCGATACTAGAACCTGGGTTTAGGGTAAAAGCCTTGGTTAGTCTGCCATGAACTCACCGCATTGTCAGCCTTTTCTCCGAACTTACCTCAACCATACGACGGCAGTTGGCTGCTGTGTCCTACCGCTACCCAAAGTCCCGTGCAGGCTACGAACTGACCTGAGCTGGCGGCTTCAACCAATAATGGCTTTCTTTTGAGGTTGACGATACGACGCAATGGTCAGGTCCCATAATATGATCGCCATATTAGGCCCTGATCAGCGGGTATAACCGTTCTTCGATTCATTTGACAACAACTGACAGCTGTGACATGTGGGGCTGAGAGGAGCAGAACAGTTGCATTTCTGCATACTTCGGCCACAGAATCCTGTTTCTCCAGGGCTTGGTTCTTTTTGGTGTATCTGGTGTTACCCAAAGTTACCTTGAGCCAGCTCGTCTGAGTTGCCGGGAGGATGTGATTGGCTTGGCCCCAACTTGACGTTGGCAGAAATCTTCAGCTCTAGCTGTAAAAACCGACTAGCTTACGTTCCTTGCGATGATCAGTTCTGAATCCGTGGATGTTCAAAAAGAAGGTCTGTCCCGCCCCATGCTCGAGCAACGCCAGATCCTGCAGTCTTCCTATCTAGTGGCAATCTTTTTCCTGGAAAGGAAAGGTAGGCGTTTCTACAGCGAGCGAAGTTACCTCGTCACCATCAGACCACTTCTTCAGCACAGCACGATGTTACTTGGTTCTGCAACAGGATGTTATTTGCTTGGCGCAGGCTTCAAGTTCACTTTCACGATAAGCAGAGCAAAAGGTCTTCATTCAGGTAAAACAGAGGGACACAATAACCAACAGGAATCAAGAGTGGTAGGAAATCTTTGACGCCTGGTCCAAAAGTTTTGCGCTAAGATACCGAGTCAAAAGGGGGGGGCGTCTCAGCTGCAATTTCCACTGTCCTTCTTAGGTCCCAGCTTCTCCACCAACAGCAAGCTACGACAGATGTCAACATCTGTAAATCTTCCGTAGTATAGTGGTCAGTATGTGAGCTTGTCATTCCAACAACGCTCGAGACCCGGGTTCAATTCCCGGCGGGAGAGTCAAACCACAATATCATTTTTGCCATTTTTGCCCTTCTCTCACTCAGTCCATTCACCCTCTTTTTGCCAACATTAGAATAGTTACAAATATGGCCCGAGAATTTCCATCGTGTGCCCCCACAACTTCTCCTGCCCCTTGTCACGAAGCTGATCCACCACCTTCGTATTAGGCGTACAGTCGCACTTGTTGCTAACAAGAAACAACCCTCCCGCCGTAGCTCTACCCGCCTCACCACTCCACGGCACACCACGCCCCCCAAAAGCAGCGCTCGTGCTCTGAAACAAATGTCTCTGTCCAGATTCCTCGTCAGAAAAGGCCACCAGCCAGTTCACCCCCTCGATAAACCGGATAAAAGCCCATCCTAGAATTGACTTTCCATCCCAACCCCGTCTTACATTCCCTGTATCCACCGCCCCAGGCAATGAATGTATAAAGGTCACGTTGGGGTTCTCCTTGGCTAACCTATCCAGCATAATGGTGTTCATCCCAATATACTGCGGCCTCGCCCTCCAAATAGTGAAATTCCCCTCCTTTTTCAACTCCCAGTCTTCCATATCGAGAAAGTAGGTTGTCTCCATCCCCCCACCCAAAACACTAACCACCCTTCCACTGTCCAAGAAAGGGAGAAGGCGGAGAATGAAGAGCATGCGGGAGTAATACTCCAACGCCTGCGCCACCTCATGCCCTTCGGCGGTTTCTTTCCGCTGTCCCCCCCAGGGTGCGAAGCCGGCGGAGAGGAACAACAAGCCGATTTTGGATTCAAGGGATGAAATGAGGCTGCACACTCTTTTTACGTCGGCAAGGAGGGAGACTTCCGCTTCGATGAAGATGATTTCTGCTTTGGGGTTGAGGGTGTGCAGTTCTTTGATGAAGGGGAGGGTGCGCGATTGGGAGGGTTTTCGGCCGAGGAGGTAGATTTTGATGGGGGTGCCTGTTGCGACGAGGGCGCGGATGGTGAGCTTGCCTATGCCGGAGGTGCCCCCGACGAAAACGGCGACGCGGAGGGGGGTGGTGGAGGTGGTGATGAGGGCGTTGGAGGAGAGGATTTCGGTGAAGGAGACCATCTTGAAGAAGGCGTAACAGGTGCTCTGCGAGATGAAACTCTGACTGTAAGGTACCTTAGTTGACATATACGTTCAGTTTAACTTTCTGAGCTGAAGGATGAGGCCATAGTGGTGGAAACAAACCAGGGCTCTTTCAGCACTTGTAATGTTGAGGATCTTCGGGCTCCGGGGTTCTAGCCAACCCGTTACACCAAATGCGGACGAATCATATGGCTGACAAGTTTTCGCGCGGGATGCGGCGCAATGAATAACCATGGTACAATTCGGTGCCTTTTTTCGACGGCATGTCAAAACCGAGGTGCTTTGTTTCTAGCCTGGCGTCGTACAATTCCATTGTGAGTTGCTGCGCAGGATCAAGGTCAAATGCCTTCGAAGCAGTGGACATGAGTACATCTTATCCGCCGGAAGGATCTTCAAGCGTCGAGGTAAGATGCCCTACGAGGTCTGTTGATGTGTCCAACGGTGTCATAGCATACATCACAGAAAAGGCACCATACGTAAATTTTTACTGATTTTATTGTGCAAGTAAAGAGACATCGCTACTGGCTTCAAGAAAGACTGACCCAAGTCCCTATCCACCGCAATCATCTAAGCCACCCAGAGGAACCCTAACTCACCACGGGCCCTATCCTTCTCTCCAAATTCCAAAAAACGCCAAAACAAGATATGCACGCTGAAACAAAAAGAGGTAAGAAAACACAAAAGGAGAAGACTTCACGGGTATCATGACACACACACACACATGCGCTCACACACCACTTCAACCCCCTACCGCTTCTTGGCATGTCGCTTCGAGTGTCGGGCGACATTATCTGCCCTCCCCTCGTAGTCGCACTCGGTGCACCTTATCCGCTCTGACCTGGTGTTGTGTTGCTGAGCGTACTCGGGGTGTTTCGCCCACAAGTGCCGACCAAGCGCGCGCTTGTCAAGGTGTCCCTTGCCACAGAGCTCGCATCGGAATGGCTGGCGGTGTTTACGTTCGTGTCTCTTGAGATCAGACACTTTGCCAAAGGTCTTGGAGCAGTTGGACTCGGAGCACGAGTGGATGTGAGGAGTAGAGGGGGAGGTGATATCGGAAGAAGCCCCAGTGGTAGCCAGAAAGGGTGAGTCGAAAATGGGAGGGCTGTAGCTGAATGTCGGAGAGCTCTCGTGAACAGACGACGTGGGGCTGAGGGCGACGCCGAAGTGAGAAAAAGGCGTTGTAACATCAGGCACGAAGGTGTTCAGGTTCAAGTTCATATCGACAGCAGGGAAGAGCGTAGCGTCCATAAAAGGGGTGAGGAGATCGTCCGTAAGGAAGTCCTGAAGGGGCAGAACAACTTCGGGAAAGAGATCCGACCGGCCTACATGGCCAAAGTCTTCGAGAAGGGCGTCAGCAGGGCTGCCTGTGAAAGGGGTACCAAACTCGTTAATCATGGAGGACGAGGGCGAAGTAAACAATGTGTTATCCACTTGACCTGTCATCATCAACGAGTCCCACGGGTCGGCGGAGAGTGTGCTGGGTGAAACGGAGGAGTCGCCGAAGGCGGGTGTGAAGAGTGGTGTGGTGGTGAATTGATAGTCGAGCTGACCAGCCTGAGGAGAAGGCATGGCCGTCTTCGGAACCCACACCCACTCCCCCTGTTCCTCAGATGAGACGCAGGGGGAGTGGGGTTGGGGGGAATAAGCGTTGGTAGACATCGTGAAGACCCAACTCACGGTTGATGTGCCGTGAGCTGGAGATGCTATTTGGTAGGGTTGAAATTGTTTGGTTTCGGTTGGTTGCAGTTGCGATTGATGAGCGTTGTTGATTGGTGGCGGCGAGCAAAATCTTTTGTCAAGACAGCAGGTTTAGGTTGGCGATAGCGGGCAGGAACCAGTTTAACGACGTAGTTCTAGGTCGCGAAGCCTTCTCGGCCTCTAGTTGCCGCATCCTTAGATGTTAGTGAATGCTATCGTCTGCCCGAACAGGACTGATCCTGTTGAGGTCGCCGTGTCCAACTCGTTGCCTCCATCCAAACGCTGATGTGGAGAACCGCCAAATGGATCTTCAACCAGTGGTCGAAGGGAAGAATTGTCTCCTCCGAGACCCCAAAAATGATATTCTTGACGAGTCTGCCGAATCGGAACCTCATGCCGTGGTTTCATCTTGACATAGCAGAAGTCGTGGGTGGTGCGTTGAACCGGAGTCCGGGATGCCCAGGATTGAGTGCTCTCTGTGCTTGAGAGAGGTAGGTGTGGTGTTGGGTCGTGACGACCCACCATTATGGGAGCGCATATCTGGGCGGGGGTTGACCACGGGGTCGGGTGTGTTCGCGGCAATCCAGAAAACCAAAGAGGTTGGCGTTTGAACTCGAGATCTCGACCTTTGGAAAGTGGACCGTCCAGGTAAGCGCTTCTTTGAAGCACTGGCTTGAACCCTGAACACGCGGTATCTTTGTTCCCGAGGGAGCTGAGACAACTCTCAGACCGACGTTCAAGGTTCCGTCCAGCTCCTACCGAGAGACCTCGATGTCGATTGCGGGGGAAGGAAGCCATGGTGAGGGTGGTGGGCTGTGGATCGTCGGGCGCAGGGTTCCAAGGTCGAAAATCCATGGCGACGTTGCTCAATGAACACAGGGTGATGCTAAATCTGGAGTGTTAGAAACAAACTTCACGGGTTGCACATGCAGGCAGCTAGGTAGTAGTGTCCGAGATCTGAGCTCACAATTTGGATTCTTCGACGGCTAGGTAAGCAGTATCTAGGCAGTCATGACGCTGACAAGGGTGTTGAAACAAAGGCGCGTAGACGCGCGCAATAGGGCGTTGGAAGTGACCTTTCAGGATTTTTGGTGATAATTTTTGGTTGACGGGTATGGTATCGAAGCGAAAGTAAGAAAATGGGTAAGGAAAAAGAGAGGACGAAAGGAGGCGGCAGTCAGGGTCATGATGGGTTTAAGAGCGTCCTCAGGCGCAGCGCGCAAAAAGACAGCCCGCGCAGCTGATCCCTGCCAATCCGGCCGTCTGGTGCGGCGACTGCGCCTCAGGCATCTGGCGCCCTCACAGGGCTGATTTCGGTTAACCTATAAGTGGCCAATCAGAGCCACTGGATGAGACGGTGCCCCACTGAGGACGGATTTCCCACTGTCCCCAGAAGATGTCCTCAATTGTGGCTCAACGCCGATGGATGAGACCTCCTTTCCGATGGGACAAGGTGGTACATCAGGTCACAGATGATTCCCAATTGCATCTATGTTCTTCAAGAGTCAATTAAGTAGCACAAGCCTCATCTTCTAGTTTCCCTATGCGCAACACAGTAGTTAAATACCCCCCGCCTTTTAGATACAATGTGTGGCTAGTGTTGACCAAATCCCACCGGTCTGACTGATACCCCGCATCAGAATCCGTCCTCAGTTTCTCACTTCCACTGCAAACGTCATGGCATCACCAAAGTCGCACGGCGGAAGACTCATGCCTTACCTCGGAAGCCTACTACAAACAACCTGGGAAAGTGAAGCACCACCCTTCCGTCCGCCAATGTCGGATACTCTCTCTTCAGTCCTCTCACGTACTGCTCCAAAAACGCCTTCTTTGCTGCCTCATCCTGCTCCAACAAATCCAGGTATGGCTTCAGCCCCGTGGTCTCAAACCACTTGACAATCGCCTCATGTCCCTCAAGGATATGGTGATATGTCGTGTGCCAGATCTCGACGCTTTCGCAATGAGGCTTCAGTGAGCTGTACCATGTCCCGACCGACTCGATCGGGTCAAGCTCCGGCTTTTGGTCTTGACCCATAAAGTACTTTGCCCACGGTCCCGGAGAGTGGTATGCCGTGTCTCTCATCAAACGATGAGATGGCTCAGCAAAGTTATCCGGCACCTGGAACGCCAACAAACCCCCTGGCTTTAGTCGCTTGAGGTGTTGCACAATCGTTGCGATTCTTTCACTGCTACGCAGCCAGTGGAACACTGCATTGCTAAAGATGAGGTCGGTGTCTGGGGGCGCGATGAAGTCCTTCACATCGCCGGCTTGGTAGTCGATGCCTTCGCCGCCATTCTTCTCGCTGGCAGCGGTGACCATGGCGGGGGAGAGCTCAACGCCGGTGATTTGTGCGCCAGGCCATTGCTTCTTGAGGGCAATGGTCGAGTTTCCCGGCCCGGAGCCCAAGTCGATGATCCTCTGCGGTTGTGATAGGCCGGAGCGGGAGAGGAATGAGATCAAGTCGTTGATGGGCCTGCCGCGGGGAGCTTCGAAGCGGAGATATTTCTCCGGGGACCAGTCGGGTTTGGTACTGGTGGTTGATGTTGCCATGGTTCGTGGAGGACAAGGCGCAAGCCGAGCGGTTTTTGCAAACGCCGTGATCCGGGCTATGGCTGCCATTTTGTTGCGAGTTGGGGGCTAATTCCCAGATGATATGTTGCTGTGAACAAGGTATGCGACGTTGGAGGGGTTCCATGTCGATCAACCGGTCGAATAAGTCCGATTGGATGATTTGTCTCAGGGTTGGAGGTGTCTTTCGGAATGACCTGGACCGTGCGTTTCACTGCTAACCCTGGGTTTGTGTCAAATTGGTCAAACAGACCCACTATTAGGTCAATTATCACCTTGGCAGTGGGACCTAAGCTACGAGGTTCGGCTTTATCGGGCTACCTAGGGACTTTCCCTCGTATAATACCAGAATTAATACCTTTTTGGATCCTATACTGTATTCAACAGTTTGGAAGCCCCCAGCTCAAGACAAAGACAGCATTAACAGAGCTGAAGCTCAATACCTATATATGCCCAGGATCAATGCAAGAGGCTGGAAATCTTCAGTATGACCGAACATGTTGCAGCAATTGTGTAGGTACTCACCAGGTATTAAGGGCCCACGACTGGGTACAGGCGTGGGTCACAGGTAAAAGATTGAATTGTTGGATAAAGAAGAAAAAGAAAGGAAAATGAAAAACACTGCCCACGACGCCTTCTTACACCTCTCAAACCTCCGGACCTCCCCTACAAAGCATGCGGAATGTCCACTAGAACCGTCCGAACTTCCTCGTATCTCCTCGTGTCTCTCTTAGCCTCCCGCCTCCCACGTCAAGCGCAAGCCTCCTATGTCAATCGCCCAAATAACCCTAAACCGGATATCATCCCATAACATCAGGCTCAGACCAACGATAACCACGAGGCTAACCCAACGCCTTTGCGTGTTTCATTTCATTGCCTGAATGGACCAGTATGCTCAGAAATTGATGATGTTATCATCGAGTAGGTAGGTAGCAGGTACGTAGCATGTAGGTAGTAGGGCAGCGCATGCTTGTCCGTACAATTGTGCTGCTTACTGGTACTTTCAGTGAACGACATGGCTCACAACAGCCTCCTCGCCCTTTCTTCAACTGCTTGAACGAGCTCCTTGAATGCCCTCATGTCTCCCTCCTGCGTCTCCATTGCCCGGTTAACTCCGGAACACTCCGCCTCGTCCTCACCCCCCAACTCGATATCCATGTGGCCATCGCTGTCTGATTCTTGCCAGGGTGAGATCGTACCAGATGAGAAACGGACATATCTCTTAGCCGAGAGGCAGCAGTCCATATCATCTACCGAGCGTAAACCTCGGCCGGCGACATCATTCAACTTTGCATGCTCCATACGAAATTGAATAAGATTGGGGAGTCTTGTCCGTATGGTATCAAAAATCACTTCCCAAGCACCGTCAAACTTGTGAAGGGTCCAACCGCTTCCCCGATCCGCGACAAACTTCCAGTCATGGGTGGTAAGGTCGTCCCACTTCTCGATGTCGTCGCTGGCGTATTCTAAGTACGAGACAATCATACATCGGTTCAGGCAGAGTGTTTCGAGCGTGGTTTGGGCTGGAACCCAGTCGAACTGGTCGTGGTGGCCAATGACATACTCCCCCAGTATCAGCGTTTTGAGATTGGGGAAATGCAGACCCTTTCCATCAAAATACCCGGGGGCAACCCCCCAGCACTCGCCGAAAGTTATGTTGAGCGATGTGAGCCGGCTGGCGAAACAGGGGAGGAACTCGTCCTGAAGCCAGGGCTCAAATGTGAAACGCTCGTCATAGTACAGGTCGTAGTCGGGGCCGTCGTCGTGATCCTCCTGAGCGACGAAAAGACGCAGCTCTGTGATGTCCTCGATGACCGAGCGGAAGAGGCCGGTTTCCAAAAACTCGGTGAACGGCATATTTTGCAGGTTCTCGATGGTGAGAGATGTGATGGGGGTGATGACTTGGTTGGCACGGGATTTCCGCTGTTGGATCGCTTTGAACACGTTCTCAATTGTGTGCATCCGGGTAGAAAAGGTTTCCACGATTTCTTCACGGTAGCCGCTTTTCTCGACGCCTTCACACCCTTCTGTGAAGCGAATGTTGACAGCCCGGAGGTTGGGCAAGCTTCCGAGGCCTTGGATCGCTGTCACGAACTCGGGCCAGTCTCCCGAGTCCCACGAACACCATGTTTCATAATCGCGCTCTAGTTGGCGGTAATAGCTGCACGGTGGCGGGCGGACACTGTAAACCTCGGCTTCACGGGCAGCTTGCTGTACGGCCGGACTGTTGACAATTTGCTTCCACGTGTCGAACGCCTTGTCGTTTCCGTTGTGCATGAGAGCGATGGTTCGGAAGAGGTGCTTTGTTGCGAGAGCGTTCCATTGGCGACAGACTAGACGGGCGTTTCGAAGGCTTTCTGGCCTCACCGCTGCTCCAAGATGACGGTATCGATTCATTTTGTCAGGCTTTTCTTTTTCAAGGCAGTCAAAAATGAGGTCCAGGACCTCTGTTGGAATGGAATCGATCCCCATGTTGAACAGTATGGAGGTGGTGCTGAGATGAGCTGGAGAATCAGAGGAAAAGTCGGTTCTTTATCAATCGTGAAGATCAATTGATGTGCAGGCAGCCGCCGCATATGTGGGGTTCAAGGAGTAATGCTCACTAAACCATTCTCGTAGCTTTCAGGCGGCAGCTCCGTTGGTCCAGTCAGAGCTCTCTCTGCCTAAGGTACGGTCCTAATTATTCCCGGCCTAGCCCCTATTACCAACCTCAGGGGGTAGTTATGTTGCAGCCATCATACAAGACACATTGGGCAGCAGAGCCTAGTCGAAATACAGCGTATAATTGACCGTCTCTGAAGGCTAGGTGGCCACGATATTCATGCCGATCCCCATCCCGTGAGCTTTAGAAAAACAGACGACGACGGTGGAAACCACCTTACACGCCATGCATGACAGTCCACACATTGGAGTAAATCTGGTGACTGGCCAGAGAGATAATGAAGACTTATTACCATACATAGTCTTCGGCTGGGTAAAACCCTACTTTTTACGACATCTGATTAGATACCCCGAAACAAACCTCTCACCTCCTCTTCCTCACCCCCCCAACCACATACCCCCCCTTCTCCCTCCACCCAACCCTCTCACCACCACCATCATACCCCCCCATCATAGGCACCATATCCTCCTCCCTCTCCGTCCACCTCCCCCCCTCCCACCAACCCCTCACCCACTCCATCCCCGTCCTAACAACCCCCCCCATCTCCCCCGTCCACCACAACCCCACCAAAACAACCCCGACCGTCACCGGCACCGCAGTAACCCAATAAGCCCACTGCCCAACCTCCATATCCCTCACGTCAGCCGAATTCATCCCAAAAATGCTCGCAATCGAGCTCAACGGCAGAAAAACAATCGTCACAATCGTAAACGCGTAAATCGCCCTCTCCTGCCTGTCACGGGTGGTATCCAGCTTATTCCTATTAAACTCCTCCAAATGCGAAGCATGACTTCGCAGTTCACTAAACTCCTTGTCGCGGCGGTCGGTAAAGCTGATGATCTCATCGATAAGTAGTTGTCTGTATCCGTGGGTACTGACGGTTATGTCTGGGGAGGGGAGTTGCGTGTAGGTGTACATCCCCCTGTGACTCGTATGGGGGTGGCGGGGTTGCATCCTCCAGTTCCGCGTTGAACTCTGCGACATTGCGTCAAAGATTGACCTCTGCCACGCGACGGTCCATTGGACGATGGACACTTCTTGTTTGAGCCTCCCCAGTTTGTACTCGTGGGTGCGGGTGGAGGGTTTGGTGGTGATGTCGGATTCGATGGTGTCGAGGTAGGAGGAGTAGGTCTCGCTGATGTCGGGAAGGGCGGGGGTGATGTCTTTGAGGAGCTGCATGCTTATGAGGGAGAAGAGGTCCGTTGGGAGGATGACTGATCTATCGAAAAGGGTTCGTTCGAACGAGTTGGCGACTGATTGGATCATGGTGTCGGTTCCTTGGCGGAGGGAGGAGAGGCCGGAGTCGAGGAGGAATTCGGAGCGGGTGGTGTTTTTGGGGGAGATGGCGAGGCCGAGGAGGATGTGGATCCAGGCGTCGACGAGGAGCCAGGGGGTGTGGACTTTTTCGAGGTCTTCTGGGGAGGCGGCGCTGAATGTGGCGTTGAAGGAGGAGAGGGCAGCGATTTGTCGGTCGAGAGTCTTGGTGACTTCGTTTCGCTGGCGGGCAAGCTTCTCCATTTGCAAGGACCGTTTTGCTTTGTTTATCTCTTTGGAGCGAGGTTCAACAGGATCGTCAGGCTCCAACGTTGGGTGCTAGATGTGTTAGCCCAGCATGTTGCTTTTCGTGTCCGTTGGAGATTTGGTACATACCTCTATTAGACTCAAAACAATACCCCAGAACCTATCAACAGTCGGAACCTCCAACTCGGACGGAAAAAAAAATTTGAAGACGATGTCGGCCTTGTTAAAGAAGCTCACTCGGCTCTCGTACATCTTTTTCTCGCGTTCCGAGGGCGGTGATTCTTCTTTCCCTTTCCCTCCTTCCTCCTCAAGAAGCTTGTACACATCGCGGCGTTTCGACTGCCGCAACTCGCTGTAGGCTTTTTGATCCTGACGTGCGGTTTTGTTGAGCAAGTACTCGTCGACCTGCACAAAGTAGTCCTTGAAGACGTCATGGTTGATCCCGCCTATACCTGAGTTTGATACACCGTCCAGGCAGGTGAAGACGGCAAAGGCAGAGTTCAACTTTGACTCTGCAGTTTCCTTGCCCTCCCGTGGAATGGTGATCCGAACTGTCTTTCTCTGACTCGAGTCATCAGGCTGCTTCGAGGCTGAAAATTGTACTTCGTCATCACGCTCCTCCCGTTTGAGAGACGAGAGGCCCATAGGAGATGGCAGCGCCGGCTTGTGTCTTTGTACTGTTAGTGGCCTTCCTACAGCCTGTGTTCAAGAGAAGAGGGTGCAACATACCCAATCTGCATTTCGAGCAAGATTCCAGCACGAGAACGGGAAGCCAGCTTGGTGATCCACGGCCACTCATCAGGTTTAACGGGTCTTTTGTAGTAGAAGAAATTGAGAGTGCGAGGCCAAAACTCGAGGAAGTGTGCCATAAAGGACTGCAGTAGATGTATTGCAATTAGCATTCAGGGGCTCAGTCATGTTTGTATCATGGGGTACCGATGACGTACAAACCAGCTGCCGCATTCTTCAATCGGTAGTGCCCAGACAATATTGTTCTGATAACGAATGAAGACTCTGGCGGCGGGCTTCAGCGTTGATATCTCCTGGGCTGTCTTTGTGACCCTGTGTATGTTGTTGCCGCAGAGGGCGTCAAACGGCATCCGACCACATGTCAGGAGAAGAGCTAGATAAAACCTGTTAATCGGATTCTTGACTGCTGCGTAACAGAGTATGTGACCTACAATTGTCTACCACGATACACCAGAGTTGTGCTATATGGAAGCATAGCTCAGCAGGCGCTCCTTTGAGCTGACGCACAGCCTGTTGCATATCACGGTCCTTGGTGGCTCTCGAAAACTGAGCCTGGAGCAGCGTTTGAACGGGAAAGCTGCTGGCGTTTTCGGCGGCGAGAAGGCCGGAATACTTCTCTAGAGAAAAGTACGGCAGGCAGATCCATGTGACGGTCCGGTTGGCAAAGCTTTGCTCCTTGAGACTGGGGTCAAAAGGAACAGGCATTTGGAGGAACTTTGGCTCCATATGTCGCACGTAGGAGCCGTTCGAGGTTTGTATTTGCTTGATGCCTTGACGCTTGACCCGTGCGATTAGATCGGCGACACCTTGCCGTTCGCTTTTGGTCAGGCCAAGCAAGCGTGTTGTCTGGGTCTAAGTGGAATGGCAACAAGCCAACATTAGCCAAGCGAAAGAAGAAGAAAGATATAAATGGTGTGACGCACTGCAAAGTTGTCAAAGTCCATGGACTTATGACTAAAGTGAATCCACCGAAAGACAGGCTGGTGCTGTACACGTTCCCCTGGAGTTATCACCAACTGCGCACCATGCTGTCCACCTATCATTCCGTCACCTGTGTAGCCGGACTCGAGCACTTGATACGCAGTCCCAGTTAAACGTTCAGCGGCTTCAATATCCTGCTCTGTTGTATCCAGAGAGTCGTCGTCTGACAATTTGCCCACATCTCCCAGGGGATCTTTGGAAGCACTTGGTGGCACGAAGGAGTAAGGACCTGTAGCAACCGGATTCCTCGTCGGCCCGAACTCAAATGCAGCATCAGTCTCCCACATCCCCATAAGAACCAAGTCTTCCTCATCCAAGTTCCCATCATCCCTCTCATCCCGAGTCCTTTTTCGCCTGGGCGGCCTCTTGTAGTCCCACTCAGCCTCCTCGGCACTTGAAGCGGCATCTCTCCTCTTCTCAACAATGAACTCGGTTTTTCGTTGTTCCACCGGGTATTCAGGGACCCGGATATACTCAATGGATGATCGTCTAGGGTGAGCTGGTGCCAGGACAGGTGAAGTAGGTGAATACGCCGGGGAATATGTTGGCGAGGCTGGCGAGAGGTCGCGTCTATCACGCTCGCGAACAGGTGAAGTATACCGTGTATGTGTCACTGTGTGGTGTGTCCTACGAGTTGATGGTCGCGTGTAGTTGGTACGGCCGGCGGCTGGGCGAGAATAGGTCGAAGGAGGAGGCGGAGTCGGACTACGTCCACGGGGTCCATGTCCAGCATATTCAGTCGAAGGCCGGGGTGGTGCTCCATAGCCATAGGAATAATACTCTCCCGGAAACTTGACATGATTGGATCTTGTTTCATCGACGTCATAAGGGTTGGTTGGGCGCCGAGCTGGGGGTGGTGGATTGTAATGTCGAGGTGGAGGTGGGGGTTGTGCCTCGATCTTGTTGACATACATCGTTAGACTGGAGGGGAGATGTTATTTGGTTACGAGAAAGTCTGTAATACATTTCTCGACTGAACCTGATGGTGATGCTTGGCAAGCGGTGAGCGGTGAGAGTGGTGCTGAGTGCCTGAAGCGCGTTGCTCAGCCGCAGAAACCAGTTGTGGCTGCAGGTACGGTACTGCAGCAGTGGCACAGCAACTTAAATAGACTAAGCCTTTTACGGACGCAATGGTGGTGTGGATCCACCATCACTCAGGGGTTCAGGGGTTAGGGTCTGCCGTTGTTCAAAATCAGAACATGTCTTAGATAGCAGTCGACTTGCACGTTTTGTGACATGTTGTTTCCCAAATCCTTCTAGAAGCCCTTTCAAAATACCAGTATGGATAGAATACAGTGCTAATATCGCCCTTGGTTGCACCCGCTGCACCATATCTCGAGCCGTCTTGGCTATGGCATGTTACAGACCACGGACAAGAATACGGACCAAATATTCAGGGGTGTAACCAGATGTTGGGGACTGGCACGGGAAAAAAAAAGCAGGACAGATGAGATCTGCCGATCCATTTCTCCCGGAACATAACCCGGCATGTCAGCTGAAGATCTTACAGGTTGTCAGTCAATATGTCTCCAATCGAGCTTAATATGGCTATTTGATGAAGGGAACGCCCCTCACATGTTTCCCCTCGTAGAATGCCAGGCCGGTCCTCAACACAGTTTCTATAACAGACGTCAACCTTTGAGTTATAACCAAGCAGTCCAACCTTCCAATTGTACACTCTATGGCATTGTTTGACCAGTGCTGCAGTCAAAATGTGGGCTCTTTTCCTTCTTAAGATTCTGTCAGCAGCAGTGCTCGTAACAGCCCAAGGCCCGCCCGCTGTCGGAGGCGGGTGCACCACTAACTCCTTCAACATCCCCAGCTGGTTCATCACCGACTTCAAGGATCTGGTCGACGACGAGAGGAAGGTGGCATTTGGTATTCTAAACCGGGCAACGAACTATACCGCCCAAGCAACATGCGGCATCGATAGGAAAGGGTACAATCTCTGCTCTGTGTCTGGACAGTCAGCCCCTGGGAACGGCACAATTGAAATCAAGGCCTTGGTTGAGGGAACTGTGGCTCAGGTCTCTGTGAACCAAACCTGGAGCTGTAACGATCGAGGCACTCCGTAAGCTCCCAGTACCTACTTTGGTGTTCAGGCTTTCACTGACACAAATACATGTAGAGTCCAATTCACGGCATCAGGCCGGGCTCGTATCTCTCTTTACGATGTACCGGAACCAGAAGCCAGCTCTACATTCCCCCCACTGTTGATTCAAGGGACGCTCCACGCACCAGTCTCCATCACCCCAGACAGGGCGGCAGGCCCGCAAGGTCATGACCAAAAAGGTTGTCAAGCAGCGTCAGAGAAGCCAGAATGGAATATTACCCATATTTACTATACGGATCGGCCAGCGGATGGCAACGTCGAGACGCCTTCCCGCACCTTCAATCTTTTGTTTACAAACACGGCCAATGGGTACGAGGGTGGTTGCGTGCATGGTTCCCTTGTAGGTCCAGCTGGGGAAACGAGCCTGATCTGCGCCGGGTCCGAGTTCGGGAATCTCGGAGGGAGCAGATATGCAATCAGCACCACGGCCAGCTTCGACCCTTCTGATTTCAAGTTCACAGTCAGACAAACTTGGTTTTGTGATGACGAGAATCCATCAAAGCCGTCAGTTCAGCTTCCCTTCTTATCCATTTGCCCATCACTGACGAAGATGTCCAAAGACTCCAATTCACAGCTTCCGCGAGCACAATCCTCCCGCTCACTTGCACCACGACACCCCTCTCGGCCGGCTCTGCGATCAACGAGACAGTCTGCGACCGCAATCCCACTCTCGTCCTCGCAGGAAATGTAGACAGCGCCACTACCCTCCCGCCCTATTCTCTGACTGAACCAATCCCGCGGGACAATACCTGCACCATCACCTCGATCCTCGCCCCAAAATGGCAGTTCTCGGCCTTCGAGATTGTCTACACACCAGAGAAGGAAGAGTGGGAGGCAATCAACTTTGAGATCATCCTGGCGACATACTCGGGGTTTCAGTACCCCATTCCAGTCACAGTCAGCAGAGCGGCTGGAAGGGAAGGGGGTTGGTTCGAGTGCGTCATCGGAGCCGACGGGGCGAACGATCAGCCGCTCTGGCCGTATGCCTGCTTGGTGCAATTTAATCCGGAGACGAAGGAGCTGAAGCTCAAGGCGGATTGGCAGTGTAGGGAGTTGGATGGGGATCAGCCGTGAGTTTTCCCTTCCATGTTCTTTTCAGGTCTGTTTCACGGGAAGATTGTTAACAAAAACGACAGCGTGAACTTCAGCGGTTTGACAACAACAACCATCAAGAGTGACTTCACCTGCGAGACATTTCGGGATATGGAGGTCTGCGTGACTGAAGACACGGGATTTGTGTGGACGGCGGACATTGGGGGTGTTGTCTGGCGCTCCGTGCCGCAGTCTAACCCCTGACTCAAGTCGGCATTGATTTGATTGTTGCTATTGGATATGAGAGCCAGGAGATCATATAAATGTACGCAACGCGAGGAATATATTGTTCCGGAAGTTCCGGCTTCCAACACAACGATGCTTCGTCTCACCGAGCCAGTCTAACAACAGCAGCCAACACGCGCGTCGAAATGTTAAGTCGCGTTACACGACCCAAAACCCTTTTACTACCTAGCCTATGAATCCAGCACGCCCATATAAGTATGCAGCTAAAGATCTCGCTGTTGTCTAACCTCGCCTTTATCCAATCCCCCGTGTGGCTCAAAGGAAGTGGTTCGTTGCGTCTAAAACATGCCCCTCATGAACTTTGACACACCACTATCACCTCATCCAGCGGATATCGAGTTCGGGTCCATCACACCCGGCGCTGAATGCCACTCATTAGATAAAAAGGGGTTTGATACAACGACGAGTTCTTCTCCAGAGCACCACCTTGACGATGTCATCCAGCATTGTAAAGCCAACCTTTTCGCAGCCCGAACAGACCTGTCCACTTTGCTAACACGAAAGGCCGGGGCGCCACTGCAGTTACAACGACTTTACACACTCAAAGTTCGTCAACGTCAAGTAAATCTAGCTGAACAGGCATCGATGTTCCGATACTCCGTGTCTACCGAAGACTCGACACATTGGGGAAATCCAAACTTAAGCTACAGGGGCAGTATTCTCCATTATTATAGTAAGCATTCCCATAACTCCACGAGTACGGCTGGTAACGCCTCGAAATAGTTACAGCGGTCCGCGACCTGGAGTACAGCCACCAACTCATCGAAACCAAATCACCAGTAGAAGACAATCTCCAACTCCACAGCAGCATGCCAAACAACCTCAAAGTCCTCAAACACCTACTCCACACCCAGTTCGAGAACCAGCCACCAACAAATGTCACCGGCATCATCCTAATCCACCAAGACAGCTAAACACTAGGAGTCTGGACCGAAAAATGCCTCCGAGCCGACATCCCCTGGTCTCCGCAAAATCTCCAGGTTTCTAAAGAAGCTGTTGCCAGGGTTCATGGGAGGTGGACTGATAATATGGCCAATGATAGTCATGGTTCTGGTTCTCGACAACGAAAAGGCAAAGGCGGGAGACGATGTGTGTGCGGCGGACATCACGTGCTTGTTATCTCTGGATTTGCGGTGTTTATATTTTCTATCTTTGTGTCGTATATCACTCGAGAAAGCCGCTGGAGATTTTTTCCGCTACGGCGGCGTATGCAGCGGTTATGGTTGTTTTCTTGGGTGCGGCGCTGGGGGCTTGAGATTTGTCCCCAAGACAATATCGATAGACAACCACAGTTTTTGGGTAGAGGGGCAATACATGGAGAAAGGCAGAGACTAGCAGACATGTAAGTTCCTCAAATACAAACTTGATATTCTCCAGTTTCTCGCACGACCATGAAATCAACCTCGTCTTATTCTAGCACTTATCTCCGGGGCTTGTAACCCTCATCCGGAAGGCAGATACATCAGATACCGGAGGCTGATTCCGAGGCTCCCAGTAAGAGGTTTCCCTCCTCGCAAAGCCCTTCCCGCTGGTATCCTTCAGTTGACGATGTTTAAAATCTTTCAGTGTCTTGTTGCAGCCGGAATCAGGGTCCTGACAGTCGCAGGGTATGCGATAGTGGTCAGTCCGTTCAGGATCTTTCTCAAATATATCCGCACTTCCATAAGCCAGTGCTTTTCTGCTGACTACCATACCGCATCTCCGCACGGGACGATTGAACCTCATACCCGACTCTTCATCCAGCAGCCCCACAAGATCGCTGAGGAGGTGCTGAAGACGCCGTGCCCGATGATCCGGTATCACAACAACAATATTCGTTGGATCATCTGCCCGCTCTTTTACGATCTCCTTTTCCTCTTCCTCGCGTCTGTCTTGGGGGTTACCCTGCCGTTTCCATCCTTCGTTGGTCGAGTACAGGTACTTGAATCGGCGGTAGATGATGCTTTGGAACTCGTTCTCATAGTGTTTGAAGACCTTTTCCAACCCCTTTCCCTCCGCGTAGTCTTTTTGAAACTCGACCCAACGCATCGTCCGGAGACTTCCGTCGCCATCCACCACAGTCATGGACTCCTGCACCTCGAGAATATCCCTCTCAGCCCAACGCAGCATGAGGTTTTCCCGTCCTTCATAGTGCATCGAGACGAACTCATCCTGAATCTTCCACAATAACTTCTTCAGTTGCTCCGTTCGACCACCTTGCATATGAGCAAAGAACTGTGTCGTCTCCCGGATGATGTGAACGCCAGCAAAGTATTGGCCAAACAGGTAGGATGTAAATTGGCTGGGCCAGCCGTTACCGTACGCTGCGCAACGTCGTGGGCTGTAGGCCGTGTCTTCCAGAATGTCGTATAACCAGTTGGCCAAGTCCCAAGACGCGATGAGAAGAGGCGCTGATGATCGGGCAAGTACTTTTCGGTTCTTTCGCGACTCGACACGTTGCTGGTTCAATCCTGACATCCATGCTGTCGTGACGGCGCCTACCAGGGCGAGAATGCCCGTCAGAATGGCTGCGATGGTACTTCCGTCGATGCTCATCCTGTCTCATAAAGCCAGTTTCGGGCTTGGCGTAGGTCATTGGGGGTGGTGTTGAAGACAAATCTTAGCAGTCCAAGACTGAAGGACAAGTGCGGGAAGATTCGGCAAGTTTCCAAAGATGAGGTGAAGCGGTTCGCACATTCTTTTCTACAAGACCATCGCAGATCATTGCTTCTAGACCTCGCCAAAAACGCCGGGTGAAATGGACGACACTCCCAATCAGCATTCTCCAGAATATCTTATCGGAGACTTCAGCTGTAGCTTTGACGCCCCTGACGTAACGACAGATCCAATTCACTGCGTAATCTGTCAGAAGGTGCAGGAGGCTAGGCTCTTCTGATGCTGATCCTGCGACTGACATATGCAAAGCTTCGGAGCAGTGTGCAGCTTCTGATTTGCATATTGAGATAGCTCTGCAGCAGGCTGTGATAGTTTTTGTGGTGTGGGGCGTCGTTTTGTGAGCTAAGGTAGGTAGAGAATAAACACGACGATCGGCCTGATGGGAATTGGGTACCTAGCAATTAGATTGGGCTCAAAGATCAAAAGCCACAGCGCGTAACAAGAGCTCCTAACTGGGCGTAGTAATAGTATAGTTCCACCTGGATGGTTGATGCCAATGCGGGGCATTTCTCAAGTCTGGAGGGCAGTGCTTGTGATACAAGGGGGTCGATGACCGGCTTTTACAGTGCTAACTTGCTGCTTGACTTGGTTTTGTCCGTCCCATCATCCCGATCGAGGCGTGGCATCCTTAACCTGTCTCTAGCACGCTTTATCACAATGGGCCAAGGAACGCCCGCAACCGATCAAAATCCTGACATTGAGCTCGGGCACATGCCGCCCGAGTCTGAGTTCTCAAGAACCCCTGCACCGGTGCTCGACGAGTTACAGAAGGGTCAAGATGCCGCCGCCCGAGATTGTAGAACCGATCTCCTCTCGTTCAAACGTGAGCCAAGGTTCAGCAGGGATGGAGATATGCCAGTGTTTGGGCTATATAAGAGTCCAGCCATGATATTGGAACTTCGAGAGCTTTACATTCCCAAGGTTCGCCATCTTCGAATAAAGCTTGCCACAGAGGCGCTTGGGTATCGATACTCCATCTCGGAGAAGTGCCCAGATTGGGCAGACCCAGATGCTAAGTACACTGACAGTAGGGCGCATGATTATCGTAGGTTCGTCAGTTCACTTGAGGAAGACAAGAGACTGATATTTCCGTACAGTGACAGCGGTTAGATATATGCAATTTATCCAGGAGGCCATCGATACTAGGTCTGCTTCAAGTGGTTGGTTACGCATCCACTCTTTCACCTCGACGGACGCCGATCTTTTGCGCACTCTACTCAAGGATCAACAAGAACGCTTTCGCACGGTCAGTTCCCAGTCTGGCACATTGGTTGAGCAAGATCAAGGGAAATATAGCGAGGCAGTGAGCTGGAGTATAGGGTGAACAGCGACACTTTTGGGTTCAATCTACCACAGGCTCTTGCCAGGAATTGTTGGGGGAATTCTGATCTATTTTCCAATGTTTGTCATGATGCAGACTTTCGAAAAGTCGGGGGAAACGGAGAATCCAAGCGACGGGGAAAACTCCAACCAGAGTGGTTATGACAATGCCCGAAACATGCTTCAGATATCAGGGGGCGCAGTTTTAATCTTTGCCATCTTCGTGTCGTTCTTCTCAAACAAGGCTGTTGAAGTCTTTTCAGCCACATCAGCCTACGCTGCGGTGATGGTTGTGTTCTTGGGTGCTACGATAGGGGGGTAGCTTCTGGGTCAACCACATCTGCGAGCGTTTGCAAGGCTGTATCAAGCTTGTTCTCAATGGTATTAGCATTAAATAGGTCGAGTAGTGGAGAAGGCGACTTGAAAAATCGTTGACTGATAGCTTCCGTAGCTTCCATTTTCATTGATACCTAGGCGGATGAGGTACCTGAGGTACAGGAAGCTTGTTCAGGGCCTCCAGCAATCGTGCAATACGTAGTCCAAAGCACACAAATACCTACCAACTTACTTTTTGTACCGGATGTAATCGGTCATCTAACATAGCTCAGATACCAGGTAGGCATGTAGCGGCTGATGGCTGTCCCAGGTCTATCAGATTGCTCTCATCTGTCATGCCCTCGACGGGCAGTCTTGGTGATCATCATCCGCAACACTGATGGCAAGAATTCTGCAGATTACCAACAATGTCTCCACGGAGAGAAATCCTTTCCAGACGGGACTGATTCGATAACTCTGCATCTCCCGGAGAAAAATCTCCGTTCCGATGCATTTCGACACGCTAGTCGTGCTACGTCAAGACTCATTCCTTCGGCATGGCTCCATCGCGCAAGAACAATGTCTCAAAAGCCCGAGGATCTATCACGGCCTATCGTGAAATCCTATTCGATGTCGAAGTGGGTCTTTTGGATAAACGACTCACTCGAATCGTTAGCCAGCTCCGCTGTGATGGTTAACGCGAAGATCATGTCTTACCCCTTGCCGATGATCCGAATGCTGACCAGAGCGTCGGGTTGCATCATGGTGTCTTGAAAGGGGCCATGAACAATTTCATGACTTGGCATTGTGTGATTTCGCATTGGATAAGGTATCGGCACCAGGGTCGGCACTCAGAATCTTTAACCTGTGATGCCGAAGTCAATGATGTCGCTGTCTTAGGTGTCGATGGGGTTTTGTGGACGGCTCTTTGAAGTGCTCTGTTGCTCGTCAAAATGTTTTGGAAAGCATGACGAAGTGTGAGGTCATGATGTATATCAGAATTACTGATGTAGAAAATCGCAACGACGACGAAAAACGAGCATAGAAGGGAGGACCTCGTCTCTAATTACCTTGCCCGAACTCTCATTACATCCCCACTCTCATCATCAATCTCTACAAAAGCAAGAAAGACCATTCCATTCCATTTGTTTTCAGACAACCCAAAGCTCTTCCCAACACTCCATCTCAACAACAACAAACATGCCCCCCAACGATTACTTCCACCAGCAAGATGCTCTACCGATGGCCAAAACTCTCCTTCTCTCGCAGTATGCCCATAACGAAGCGGCAGGTTTCTGCCATGGCTACTCCCTGGCACGGCACGACGCAGAAAGCGAGGCCAACAAGGGAGGCCACGAAGCCAGACAGGACTGGATCAAGCACATTGGTTGCGGACCTGTTGGTGAGTACGGCGGCTGCAACCCTGCTGACGGCCATTTCTGTGCTCTGGTTCTGCCAATGTGCAAGCCGGAGCGGTTGAGATTGGTTTCTTATCTTCTCGAATGTACGTTCTCACTGTCACTCACACCTGTTGATCAACCTGACAAGTTTAGACGCCTTCCTCCACGACACCGTCGTAGAAGGAGTCTCAGCTGTAAACCCCACACCCCACGCACCCCTTCCCCATCCATGCTAACCCCCCTATCCCAGCCCACAAACCCCAACGGCACCACGACCCCCCACCCCGACGCCTTCACCCTCGGCCGACGTAACGACATCGAATCCGGCCGCAAACACCTCCAAGCCAAAACAATGAGGCAGCTCCTCTCCACCGATAAACCCTGCGCCGAACGCATCATCCAAACCTGGAAAGCCATGCTCGCCACCACCCTTAAGCAGAAATCAAAACACTTCTTCAACCTCGAGGAGTACCTCACCTTTCGCATCGTCGACACCGGTGCGACCTTTGTCGAAGCCACAATGCTTTTTGGTATGGGGCTTATCCTGCCTAAGCATGATAAAGCCAAACTTGATGAGGTTACACGGCCGTGTTTTGCTAGTTTGGCGCTGGCGAATGATTATTTTAGCTTTGATAGGGAGTATGCTGAGTTTTGCTGTGGGGAGAAGAGGAATAAAGAGGAGAGTAGGTTGGTCAACGCGGTGTGGTTATGTATGAATTGGTATGGGGTGGCGGTGGAGGTTGCGAAGGGGATGGTGAGGGAGGCGTGTAATGGGTATGCGAAGGAGTTTTTGAGACGGTCAGAAGAGTTTCTGAGGGGATGTGAGGGGGATCGGAGTGAGAAGGATGTGTGGGAGAGGTATTTTAGGGGGTTGAAGCATCAGGTGAGTGGGAATGTGGTTTGGAGTTTGAGGTGCCCGAGGTATCATTCTGATGAGAGGGGGTTTGATCCTAATGCTGGGGTGGAGGATGCGGTTACGGCTGAGATGAGGAGGGGTTTTCTTGCTGGGAAGCAGGAGGAAGAGCAGAAGGAAAGTGATTGGTGGCAACAAGGGTTGGAGGTCACGTCTCCTGGGGTTGAGGTTGCGATGTAAAGAGGGTAGAGTATTTTGGGCCGCACAACGGTCCCTGTAATTGTTTCTTTTCCGGAACTATCAACATCGTAGCTGAGAAACATGTATGACAAAATAATTCAAAGTTCCTAGCATCCCTGAAGCCTCGCTTGAACACCATCGACGCCCTTCATCACTCTCCAGTCGCTGGCTACCGGTACCCATCCGTCTCCCTTTTTCTGCCGAGTCCACCTCCTAACCGATAGGCAACTGGAGGCGGCCCAGGATATGGTGGCAGTTCAATGTCATCATAAAGCTTAGGCTGCTGGTTGACAACGGTGTTTGGGTTGGCGCTGGTGTTGATGTTGGTGTTGGTGTCGGTGGTGCCAGCCTGTCTTTCCACATCATCCAACTGTCGGCCCGCTCGCCGGCCTGGTGATGTAACTGGTTTTGGCGAATTCTTGCCTTTTCCTCTCCCACGAACACCCGCAGCATGACTCTGTGTCTATGCAAAAACATTGTAGAATGCTAGCAATACCGCAGAAAACAAGCCACAACGGCCAAAAGAGAGCCAGGAAGAAGGATACAGTGATGACAAGAAGTTGTTCGCACCCATCCTTAACCAGCCGTGGGTACATTCGACTTATTTCTCTGTAGACGAAACCAATGTTAAAAAGAGAAATCGGCGCGTAAAAGTGACACCCGACGACCAGGAACGTCGATGCGACTTCCCTGTTTCTGCCCTCTCCTAGCCAGCTGTGGGAGTTAGCGCTCTTGAAGGCAGGAAGAACTTTCGGCTCTGACACATACTCTCTGCTCTGCAAAATCATCTTGTTTCTCTGTCGCTGGACTCCTAAGTGTGGAGCGAGACTTTCTCCTGAAGTCGTAGAAGTTATGGTCCTTGATCCTGAGACTGGGCTGAGCAACGGTAGCGATTTTGATGTGGTATGAAGGAAAGGAAGGTAATTACTCTGAGGAGACTGGATTATCTAAGTAGGTACCCACCATACCAGGCAGCGGGTGGCTGAAGTGTGTTTAAAGTTGGTACACTCACATTTTTGGGGGCTTGATACTCGCGCACAGAAAAGCTTTTTCCAGTTGGGTTGAGGCTTGAAGCCATAGCTACCTCATGTCCATGTCCTTCAATCACCACCACTACCTCCAGTCTTTCTCCGACTACCTAAACATGCCCAGGATATGGCGGGAGCTCAACCTCATCACGCTGACCCAGCTGTCCTCAAGAGATAGGTTGGCCACAGGATGACAAAGAGGAGCCAGCCAAAAAAGAACAACGCCCTCGAGCATATATCGTTGATCGACCACCATGCAGGGCAGAGACGGTCTATCGCCGTTCTAATGCCCATGAAAAGCATTCCAACCCCATAGACGGCAAGTACCACCGTTGAAGCGTAATCGGTTCCGACTTCATGACTGCAGTACGATGTTAGGATAAGAGATCGGCGTACAAGAAGGTATCGTGCATCATTACCCCCGGGTGTGCAAGACCGCTTGGAAAGTTTCCTTTGCACGTTGCTTTCTGTCCAGTTGCGAAGTTCCAAGTTGGCGAGTACCAAGATCAAACAGGCGGGAAGTCATCGTACCTCCAATCATCCATCGAGTCACCCATCGCGAAAGTCAGGTATGTACGAGCGAGTGTTGATCGAGGTAGGTACGTATGTCGGTTCCAGAACGAAGATGAGAGCGGCAAAGTGAAAAGAGAAACGTGCGAGTGGCTGCCGTGGAAATATGGGTTTTGTGAAATTGAGGGGTAGATATAGATTCAGGGTCACCGGCATGGCGCCTCTTTCGGCCTGGTGGTGGTGTGGCTTGCGTAGGTAGGAACCTTATAGGTATTCACAGGTGAGAGACATTGAGGGCTTGTCTTTTCTTGCTCACGTTCATGAGAATACGAGGAATATATGCGCAACTTGAATGCAACGCTGTTCATAGCTTCTTTCATGTTGATGGTACTAGTAAGTAGGTATAATGTCATCATCCCAGCAAGTCAAAGAAAAACCACCAAAACAACACTTGACACCCAAACTCCAGCCCGTATAATCTCACGATCATCATCCACCATGTATATTCCATTACATATCGAGCTTCGTCATCATTCCCAGTCAATCCCCCAAAGCGAAAACACCAAGCCCCTGGTTTCCCCCTCACCACATGCTGTCCAAACCAACCCGCCCCCCTCTTCCCTCATCTCCCTTTAATACCCTCGACTCCTACTCCTTCTCCCCCCCGCCCCCCTAACCTCCTCCCTCCCATAAACCGCATACCCCCCGTCCACACCCCGACTCCATACTCCTCGACCCCTCCCTCCTAACATAAACCGGCTCCACCTCCGTCATGCCCACCCTTCTTTCCCTGCTAACCGTCCTCGTCCTTGAATGTCCCCTGTGTGAATGCCTCGACCTGCTCCTGGACGTATGTCGTGGCGGATATTCCTCCCTCACACCCCCATACCACGGCTTCCCCGGCACCGCAGGCTTGTTCGGGGGAGCCCCCAAGTTGGTGCACGACCTAATAATCCAGATGAGAAGAAGCAAACCGACGATTGAGCCGATTACGATCCCGGCGATGGCCCCGCCGGTGAGGGTGGTGGTTTCATCTGGGTCTGCGGTCACGGGAGGGTCATCGTTGGTGCCGGTGATTATTGTTACTGTTGGGGGGTTGTTGTCTTGGCGAGGTGAGAGGAGGTTTGTTGTGAGCGTTGGGAGGTGGGTGAATAGTATTGGGGCCATTTTTGGGGGGTTGTTTTGGTTGCGATGATGGTCCTGTTGGTGATAATGGAGAGAACACAGAGAGAGAGATGGATGAAAAGGAGGAAGGGATGACAGTGCTGATCCTAGACGCTGAATTTTCTACCATGTTTACTGCGTGGCTGTCAATCAGGATTATGTGGCGGTTGAGGTGATGATGTAATTGTACATGAAGTGTGGTGAGGCTGTATGGATTGGGAATGGCTTCGGGTGTGTTTCAGGGGTATTGGTGGGCGGGGCGGGGAGGGGGGGCGCTGGGCGATCTCACATGGTTGGGCACTGCAGACTGATGGAGATGCCAAGTTTGAGATATGGGAATAAGAGAAGCAAGAATATGCAGCATCCTACTGTTTTTTTTTGGAATATGTTTCTCCCTGGTGTCGCTCTGAAGAGAACAACTGAGAACCTAGCTAGCAGATCTGTTAGTCTGAGTATGCACATTTCGTCAGAGCCATAACAGTACTGTTTGCTCAAACAACTGCCGAATAACCATGCACAATGATGTCATAATTATTCCCGCCATCACCACGACATTTTGCTGCCCACAGGCACGCAGTCAGAGAGGAGCATTGCAACACCAACGACACGTCAGGCAATCAACTCACTCCCCAATTCTGCACTTGCCGAAATCATTCCCCTCAGACCCAAATAACAGCCAGAGACCTCCATTTCATTTCAATATCTACACAAAGCACTGAACCATCCTCCTATCCCAGGCCCACATCACCACAACCCAAGAACCATGCCTTTGTCCTCTCAGGGGCCTCCCTGACTGTCACTTTATATCGTGTGGAGTCAACAAAGCTTCAGTTCAAAACCTCACCAAGTCGACTGTTTGCATTGTGGCTGCACCAAGTCAACCTTAGAAATGCTGACGCCGACGTAACCGGCATCATCTCTTAGGGCGTGTGGCGCAATTGGTAGCGCGTTCGCTTTGCATGCGAAAGGTCTTGGGTTCGATTCCCAACTCGTCCAAAGCACGCATGCCTCCTCACAAGGCAAGTCTGGGATGATGTTTTGCTGCCCAGGTTGACCCCCTGAATTACATTTTTTGTGGACTAGGTATGTTGCGCATGTCGACGGCCAAATTAAATTCATTGTAAATAATTGTTGGGCACGTGTGCATTGTTAGTGTCCATGTGGACGCTGGAGAATATCAAAACTCCCCTACTCTTCCTCTTTCTCGTCATCGTCACCCCCATCGACCCCATCTTCTCCCTCATCATCCCCTTGACTGCCCTCCTCCTCCTCCTCCTGCTGCTGCTGCTCGCCCTTCCAAACAAACTCCCTCCCAGGCCCTCCAAAATTAACCTCAAACTGCACAAACCCCCCAAACCCAACAATAGGAAACAACCTCCCCGACACGTCTCCATCCTCATCATCATACACACCCACTTTGACCCCGTTCTTCGTAGCCCACATCTCCCTCTGGGCCAAATCAACCCCAACGCCAATCACATCACCCACCTCCCCATAAGCCATCCCAATAAAATTCGTCCCCGACCCATCAGAAGCATAAATCTCGCCAGCACGCGAGTTGTAAGCCCACGACTTGGCGTTCGGGTTGACGTCACTCTCCATGACGGTCTCACCAGGGAACTTCACACCCGCCGCCCCGACAGAACTGAATCCAAGTGCCACCATTGGCTTCGGTGGCCTAGCCTTGTGCCAAAGCAGAGTCTCCGACTCTGGGAGAGAAGGAGTGTCCTTGATGTTGATCTCGTAATAGTAACGATCCAACCCCGGAGGAAGGGGCTTGTCGGCCGAAACCGACACCTCCTTCGCGGAGAGGTGTCGTATCGTAATACCATCCTCTCCTACGCTCTTGGCGCCGATGGCAGTGGCGCCAGGTAAAGAGGTCGACCACCGAGATGGCAGGTTCTTCACCCAGGTGTTCTGCTCCTGGAGAAACTCTTCCGCTTCCTCGCTTCCCGAGTTGCGCACCAGCTCGATGGGCCGCCAGCCGAATTGGTCTGGGCGGCTAAAGTCTGCGTTGAGGGACCAGAGTTGCTTGAGGAGCTTGACGCTTCCGTTGGCGGCACAGGTCGCGATCAAGGAGGAGTCTTGAATCGCTGCGGTGGGATCGGCCGAGATGAGGAGGGCGATCGTGTCCTCGAAGGCGGGAGTGTGGACTACTGCCCACTGTTCGTAAGCCAACACGAGAGCAGTTCGAGAGGAGGTGTCCTTGATACAGGCGTCCGCTTTTGCCTCCAACAGCAAGCGGACGCACTCGACGTGGCCTCCCAGGGCAGCACGGTGCAGAGCCGTCATTCCCTTCTTTTCGTCCTTGACGTCGATGGCAAGAGCGGCAGCGTCGTCGCGCTCAATGGATACCTGAATCATCTTTGACACAATGTCATCAAACCCGCGAGAGGCCGCTTGTCGAAGGGCAGTTCTGCCGCTACGTCCAGCCTTGTTGATGTCCGCAAGGGGAATGTCACGCTGCACAAGCGCGTCGAGAATCAGGGACGCAGTCTTGTGGCTCCCTTCTAGTTTCCCCAGAAGGGCAATGAAAAAAGGCGTCCAGCCATGGACGTCGACGATGTTCACGTCACAGCCGTGCTCAACAAGCAGTTTGGCAATATCTGTTGCTCCTCTTCGGCACGCCAGATGCAAAGAAGTCCTCTTGAGCGTGTCGGTAAATTCGGGATCAGCACCATGCTCAAGCAGTAAGCGGGCGGCATCAATATGCAAGCTGGCAATGGCTTCTTGCAAAGCAGTTGTCCCTTGAATATCCGTGTCATCGATCTCGACAACACCCTCACGTAGAAGAATCTCCATGTTCTTAACCTGGCCCTGCGTTGCGAGCATCTGCAGAGGACGGGCCGAGGTAAGGTTCTCGGCGTTGATGTCAGCCTTGTGTCTAATGAAGGCAAGCAAAAGATCTTCGGGTGCTGCAGTCCTGAAAGCAAGCAGAATGTGGAACGCGGTGAGTTTTAGCACTCCTTCAGGGGCGTCAATCTCTGCGCCATGCTCCAACAGGGCAGCCAACACTGCTGGGTCTGTTCCCTCTTGGGCAAACAGATGTAGCGGTGTCCAGCCGTAGGGTTCGTTCCTGATGCGAGCATCAGCGCCATGTTGAAGCAACAACTGGACGCCCTCAAGCTGCTGGTCATTTCTGATCCAGTAGTGAAAAGCGTTGAACCCCCATTTGGATTTCGAATTTGGGTCTGCGCCCTTCTCGAGCAGAAGTTTCATCATCTCCAACCTATTCCCAACTGAAGCTGCCACCTGGACTGGGGTGAAACCATTGCAGACTTCGTTGACATCGGCACCAGCCTCAAGTAGACGCTCGGCCCAGCTTGTCAGCCCAAGATAGGCAGCAACATGCAGCGGCTTGTGGGAGCCGCTGGCAAGAGTGTACTTGCGTTCCTCTGGCGGATTCGAGGTAGGCTGGCTCGTTTGCCAAGCAAAAAAGAGATCAGTTTTGGACGAAAAGGCGTCGAGTTCTGTCATCAGCTGGGACCACAGGCTGCTGTCAGCCCTCTCCTCCGGTGAAAACAGCTCCTCAGCCTTGCGAACATGGTATGCCCAGTTGAGAAGCTCGTATCTCGAGTGGTGCGTAGGTTCCGTCTCAGAAGATGAGTCGCTGTCTTCTTCATCTTCCCAGGAGTTGAAATGCTCACGATCGAAGAGACTGGGATCAACAACATCTTCCTCGTCATCGGAATTCTCCAACGGCAGCACCATTTTCTCAGTCAGCATATGTTGTGGGGGCAGAGCCTCCATTTGAAAATCTGGAACCTTGGACTCCGGAATGCTTGACAAGCCAGCGCGTTTCTGGAACAGAGGGTGGTTGAGATGTCGCAGACAAGCCAGAGCCAGCTGCAAATGCCCTTCGCGAGCGTCGATCTTCAGAGCCTTGTGCATGGCATCACTCGTTTTGCACTTTGCGCAGAGTTCGGCGGCTTCCAGTTCGTTATCCGCTTCAGCAGTCGCCCCGCTAGAGCTGCAAAAGAAACCCTCGATATCGTCAAGCTCTCCGATGGGCGCATGAACCATGAACCTGCCCTCGACAGAGCTGAGTTTCAGAATGCCTTCCACTGCCTGCAGGAGCTGTTCCCTTTCCAGACTTGAAATGTGCTCAAAGGCGAGGTCATCCTCTGTGTTGTCGCTGGAGACATCAACCACGGGGCTGGTGTAAGTACCCTGAAAGTCGTCCATGACTTCTCGTGCTGAGATTTGGTTGTCTTTGGCGAGCACAACCCACGTGAGGGCAGTCTTGAGAAGACCGACGTAGTTGGGCTTTAGGTTGCGTAGGGCCTTGGAATACACATCCCCCAGACCACCCGGGAGCTCCAAAAGCCGTTTGGAGAGCGGTCGCTGGAACGGTTCCTTCATAAACGGGATGGCAGTCTTGACAAGATACGAGAACTTGGACTGGGCCTTGTCCAGGATAGCAACCGTAGCCTCCTCGCGTTCCTTGGAGGTGAGGCCTGGGATGTTGTCGAGTTCATCCGCCAGGAACGCCCGAAGATCTTTCCCATTGCCTTCGCCAACATCAATGATCAACTGGTTGGGAAACTCCTCGTCATGCTGATAGTCGTTCTGAAACGTTGTGGGAGAGCTGCACCCAACAAGAATGAGAATGTGATTCTTGACCAATTCGTCGACTTGGCCCCGAAGAGAACGAAGTTCCCGAAGGAGCGTTCGCTGGTGTTGACCCTCGAGGGTCGACTTGCTGATTCCATCAACCACCACGACCACATCTCTTTGCAAAAGACGGACCAGCTTGCAAAACCCTCCAACGAACTGCGGAAACTCGGACATGCGCTCTCTCTCGTGGGGCTGGGCATTTTGCAAGTTTGCTTTTGCGGCCTTGAACACCGCAGTGCAGCTCTCCAGGAGACTCGCGTTCTTTGTCTCCAGGGCCAACTCATAGAGCTGAGAAAGCAGTGTGTGCAGAACCGTCTCGGCTGTAATGACTTGATCTTTGCCTTCCTTGGCATCAGGATTGCAGGTGACGTAAAGGTAGGCGGTATCCGGGTTCCATGCATCCTCCTCGTCCTCGTCATCATCACCCTGGCCTGGGAGGAACTGTCTGACAATGGACGCCATGACATAGGATTTTCCAGTTCCTTCTTCGCCCGTAATGCACAACATCTCACACTCGTCCGACTGCTCCCACGTCTCATAGTCCGGCTCCTCGAAGACCCAGCTGCAAGTGCCTTCAGGCATCGCAACAAGCGCATCAATAGTGTCACCCAAAACTCTCCGACACCCTTCTAGCGGTTGCAGCGCTTCCTGGTATGCCTTGTAGTCTTCCAGGGCAAAGTCCCACGGAGACTTGCGCTTGGTATTGCTGGCCAGCTCGTCCATTCTCTGGGTAATCATGTCAATCTTGTGGTGGAAGGTCTCGAACTGCTTGATAGAGCTGGCAATATCGGCCACAACTGACGACACACCCTGGAGCTGGGTAAGAGTCTTGTCTTGGAAGGCACCCTGGCTGCCCTCGAGGATTTTCTTTTTGAGGATAGCAATTGTCTCGCGCTTTTCCTCGAATTTGGTCTATGGATAGGTTAGTGGCCGTATCTATAACACAGTCCTTGGCGCTGGTCAAACCTACCCTGTTAGACCCGAAAAAGTCCTTGAGGCCATGCTTGAGCCGAGCAAACGACCCAGCCGTGATATGACGCTTCACAGCAAACGAAAAGTCGAGGACGGCCACGTAGGTTTCCGTCACATCCTGGAACAGCTTCTCCACCAGCGGACTGGGCTTCCAGTCGGGCTTTTTGCCGCGTTCATCGTAGAGTCGGTCGTAATGGCGAACGATGATCATAATCTCACTGATATCGCTGAGGGCCGTGCCAAAAAACTTGTAAAGCTCGTAGTTGCTGTGGATGGCTGTCAGGGTTAGCTTGACGGCGTACCAGGCCAGCCCGACGCTTTCTGGAGCCCCTTCCGTCAGGTAGTCTCCGGCCGTGATGAAGTTGTCGATGTTCTCCATGATGTTGGTGATCCACGATTCTGGAATTTCCACATCGGCCAGCTTCTTGTTGCCATACTTCTTGCCAGTAGCTGCCTGCAACTGCTGGGCGGCTTCCTTGGCGTCTTCTGGTCCGGCATATTCACGCAGGAACTCATTGAGGACGGCCACCTCTTTTGGATCGGTATAACGCTCGTGCTTCGACTTTTTGAACCGGTCAAAAGCCTCATCGTAGAGACTGCGATGGGGTGGCGAACCCATGATGACACCCTAATGATCGTCAGCTTACACCTATTTAAAAAGAAAATAGGCCTCAAAAGATAGCCAATAGGCCTATTGACTATATTTGACGTGTGGTTCAAAATATGGTGTGCGTTTACTTACTTTTGCGGTGCCAATTGTATTGTCCACAACGTGGGTGACCGAAGAAAGCGGGAGAGAGTGAGAGAGTGGTGGAGTTGGGGACGGGTATCGACGAGCTGGAAGCAGAGACTGATCAGGTCAGGGTGAGGTCTGAAGAACTTAACCAGGAAAGCAGTTAGTTGTGATACCTGGAATGCCGAAGATGTGTGATCGACTTACTTCCTGACATGCAGCTGCCAAATCACCGTCGGAGATTTGAGGAGTCTCGTTGATTCCACACGTCGAAGGGATGGGTGTGACGGGCTTCGAGGTTCCTGACGGAGGATACTGATCTGACGACGTGGTTTGGAGGAGTGGGCATGATTATAGCTACTGGAAGATGGTCGTCAGATTTAAGTCTCCCAAGCCCCATCTGTCCCTGGCTCCTGCGTGGCCCCATGTTTACGGTGCGATAGGGATGAAGCAGAAGGGCGCGGGGTCGTATCGGGGTAGTGGGCATCATTGCGTGTGGCTTGAAGATTTGCAAGTCAGAGAGATCAAAAGAAGGGATTCGCTGCTTCGTTTCATCGAGGCCCACTGAAGTCGCTGGTCTCATCTCGTCGGGCAGTCACGCTAAGGCCAGCAAGCATGTTAGGTAAGCACCAGCTGAGAAATGGACGCTTCTGATTGGTTAATTGTGGGGCGAGAGCTTAAACTGCTGCCTTAACTCCGCATGTCAGATTTTGGTGTCACTCTCATGTTACGCCACTTTTACATCCATACCACTGGTCCATCCGTGTAGTACGCTGACCGCCGAGAATCGTGATGCATCTGATATGGCCCCGAAGAGTCGCGATTGGGCAGAGCTTACCCTGCAGTCATATCACAACATGACCCCTGATCGCGGATAGTGATACTGGTTTTCGATCAAGAATTTATGCTAGTACTCACTTCCGCTTTTCTTTGTCAGCTGTAGGTCTCCTATCTAGGATCACAGTCCGTGCCGATTTCCGAGGACTCAATACCTTGCAGTAGAGAATGAGAACTGTGGAAGCATTCAAGTCTCTTGAAGATACCTCGGTATCGTAGGGTGCGTATTTACATTGTGCCGGTACCTGATGTTGAGCTTACTTTACAACCCAGTAGTTCTCATTCTACCTCGCCCTTTCCCTTCCTCTCATCCATTTACTGCGACAGGAACTGCACAATGGCGTTGTAGTTGGCCTTGGCGTTGTAGTTGCTGTCGAACAGGAGAGGGTTGCCCTGAGGGCGCCACGAATCCTGGTCACGGACACCCCAGACGGTAATGGAACGGCACTTGGGCTCCTCCAAGCAGCCACGGGTCACGGCGACGTAGTCGTTGCTGTTGTTGTTCTGGATGTCGAGCTCGGTAACGGCGACCTCCTTGACGCTGGTGGCAGCGAGAACCTTGATGGTCTGGGCAAGACCATTGCCCTGGCCGGACTGAAGATGGCCCTGAGTACCGATACCGTCGATGGGGATACCCTGAGACAGCCACTTGTTGACGTTGGCAACCATGCCGCGGGTGACCTTGGCGTAGTTGGGCTGGTCGAGGTTGTAGTCGTTGATGTAGAGCTTGGCCGAGGGGTCGGTCTCGCGAGCGGCGTCGAAGGCAATCTTAACGAAGCTCTCGCCGAGGACACGAGAGAAGACGCTGTTGCGGAGCGAGCCATCCTCGTTGAACATCTCGTTGATCACATCCTATCGAGTTGTGTCAGCTCTCCAGTTTCCTTGTTCACAACATGATCACAACACATGACATACCCAGTGGTAGATCTTGCCCTTGTAGCGGCCACCGACGGTGCGGATGTGCTCCTGGATCACACGCGTGAGCTGGTCACGGTTGTTGATCTGGTTGACCCAGCCGGCGAGCTGAGAGTGCCAGACAAAGGTGTGGCCACGGATGGTCTTGTTGCGCTCGGTGGCCCAGTTGACGAGGTAGTCAGCCTGGCCCCAGTTGTACTGGCCCTGGCGGGGGTTGAGACTCTCCCACTTCATGCTGTTCTCGGGAGTGACCTGACCGAAGTTGGCCTCGATAATGGCGGCGTTCCGGCCAGCCTGAAGACGGCCCTGATCGGTGGCAGTGCCATAGAACTCCTTGCCCTTGGCCTTGAAGAGCGCGTCGATGCTCTGGGAAGCCTGACGGTGCTCGACGGTGGGAGCCGCTGACACCAACGGTGCCAACAGAAGCATAAGACTGGCCTTCATCTTTGACGGTGGGTGAGACTCGGCTGGGATGACTGGGTAGTTGAAAAAGAAGCGGTTAGGTTGGAAGGGCCAGCCTCCTATATACCTAGTCTCAGATTCCATGATGGCTGCTCGGGATTACCCACGCATCTCCACCCTTGGGTCCCTCTGTTCCGATTCGACGTATCTTCTGTCGACTACATGATATCGTTCTCGGCCAACCATGCTCCATCAGTCCAAGACGTACCTGAAGATCACAGGCGATGCTCCCCGATCTTCACCCACGCCTTCCCCTTCCATGCAACCAGGATTCTCCTTCCGCACAGGAGCAAAAAAGCCCCGAATGCCATTTTGCGGGGCCCCACGACGCAGTGCAACACGATCTCGGTCGGGCATTTCTGCTCCTCCCAACTCCCATCTTTAGCCGCGTTGCTGAACGGAACGGTTAAAGGGCCCAGGTGCGGCTTCGACTCCTTTTTGCCATATTCAAGACAATATTGATCCCTGTTGGCCGTGGACCCCAGAACCCCGTGCCAACTGCAAGATGCGCGCGAATGACGCTCCCCAGAAAATCTACGGCCGCTCCCAATTGGTGGTAAAATGCGGCGAAAGCCACGCGAACGACATCTGCCGGATGGGCGTCTCCGCGACATCATCACAAGGGATCGCTGGGCAATTACTGACAGCAGCGGTTAAGTGCTCTCCGTTGCTCTCCAAAACCCATGTAGCGCGTGGCTTATAGTTCATTTGACAGCCTGCATTCTGTCTTCTCCAACAGCCCGCCTTACACACAGCCATGTTCGTCATCCCTTCAACCTCTGTCATATAACTGCCAATATCCCCAAACAATCCCGATTCGCCGGGATGCAACAGAGGTGAGAATCCCATGGCGGGTGAGCTGAGGGGAAGGGCATACAGGATGCTATTTTGTTCCTGGACACCCGGTGATGTGCTTTACAGAGACTTACTGTCCTGGAAATCGGGCGACTTCAGGGGCAAACACTCAAAACGACGGGAGTTTCAATCTAAACAAAGGAAATAGCAATCTCGAGCATGACGGGTTGTTATGTCCTAAAAGTAGAATTGGTGCCGATTTCCCGGGCGGTTCTAATATGGCTTGAGGCAAGCCGCGTTGCCAAAATCAACCACTCCTCGATACCTAGTTGATATCTTGTCTTGGAGACCTCAGAGGGATACTGAGGTATACAAAGATGTTGCCCCCCCCCCCCCCCAAATCATTGGTTTAAAGGCTCACAACCAACCAACAGACCAGAAGGCCATATGCTACAAATCAGCCGCACAGCAGACATAATCCTATGGCTGATCCTTCAATGTCCAAGCCCACGATTCACATCACAGCGCTTGGATAATTCTGACTGGCATCAACAATTCATAACCTACCACGTACCCAAGCTGCTCGCGCCTAAATTCTTGTACAACTCACACTGCCCCCCAGCAACAATTTCATAGAGTTGCATGGTAACACCAACATACTACCAACACCTAATAGCCACCAGTGTCACGGTCGTGCGAGATAGGTACCTTGCTAGGTACCCAGCACCAAATAATTTACTATCTCAGCTTTGTCCACAGAACCGCCCCAATCATCTCTTCAAACTCGCCGATTGCACATCAGGGGCAAATTCCCACTATAACAAGCCACAATTTCAAAAAATAACTAACGTTAGGGCATTATATCAGCTAATCAGAACAGCTCTTAGCTGAGGGATAACGTTTCGCCTCAAGTAAGGTAGGTACTATGTGAACGCCGAGCACATGACCGAGGTCTGATGTGCTCTCAGGTCCCCCAACCCACGAAACATTTTCAACCATAGGTACAAGTTGGTGCCTTGAAACAATGGGTCACTCCGAGAAAGTCAGCACCCTAGATTTGCTCGTTATCCTCTCCCAGCTTTTGACACCAGCGGTAGGTACCTGAGCCCGGACATACAACCTCTTCTCACCCCATCTTCTCACGCCCGCTACGCGAAGTAGCAAGCAAACAAAGCTGCAGCGCCAGATACGCCTGGGCTGCTGCCCCGATAAAAGAGAACAGTCCACTCCAGTACGTAGGGAGAGATGGATATGCCAGGATGGCGCGGCACCTGCGCTGAGAGCTCCGATAATGGTGAATATTATCGACCAGTGCCACGCCGCTCCACGTACCTACCGGTTGTAGACGGGCAACAAGGCTGTGAACAGACCAAGCCGCAACATGATGGAGCTCTGGATCGCAACCCAGAAGTTGGGATCCTCGGTTGAGCCGTGTCCGGCGAGTCTGTGGTGCCATGATGGAATGAGCGTGAGCGCAGCTACTAGCGTTGCGATGGGGACGATGGCGTTGAGGTGAGGGATTCGCGGTCCAATGGGTCGGTTCCTCTGAGGAGTATCGCCCGGCTAAGGCTCTTCATGTCAGCACCAATCAATCCATGAAGAAATCGACTGTAGGTGCTCAGTCCTTACACCCAACGCCCTCAAATGGGCAGCTTCTCGACTAATATACCCAAAAGCAGGCTTCCACTCGGTCCAAACCTCAGAGGAGTCATCAAGAGCCTGAAACCGCTTCAAGATGGCCTCTTCCACTTCAAACCATTTGGCCAAATTTTGTCTGTGGCATGTGGCCCTTGATGCCGTCGTACAATGCTCTTGCGTCGCGTTGATTCGTTCTGATCTCCTTCACCTTCACCACGGGAATATCAGAACAGTACTCTTTGGCGAGAGCCGAGCGGTCCGATCGTCAAAGACATATTGCCAGTGTTGGACGCAGTCGGTGTAGTTGCTCAAGCAGTACGTGACCCTTTGCATATGGGATGATTCGAGCACAGAGTAACTGGAAAGGTTCGCTGCTACAGGTGGGGCAGACGCAGTGATTGCTTTTGTTGTCAAGTCAAAGTGTTGAACAATCTCTCGTAGGTCGGTTTGGCATTTTGGGTTAGGGGGGTCGATTCATGCTGTTAGGCTGGACATGAAGACTGGCGACAGTATAGGGATGGGATGGGAGACTGAGACCTACTTCGAGCGGGAGCAAGTGGTCTCATCAAGAAGTTGAAGTTGCCATATCGCCGAGATAGCATCTTGAGTCGAAGTGGTTGAGATGAGTTAAAAGTGGTACAAGTCTTTACTGTGAGGGAACCCGGATCAAAACGGTTCCATTTACTCACCTACCGTGGATTGAGAGAAAGAGAAGTCAGCTGCTTGCTGTCGAGAAGTTTCAGGCAGATTTCAGCTGACTCCCTTGAGCATAGCCACAGCAGACAAGGCCGGCCCAAGGGTAACCAATCCCACAACGATCACAGCTTCAAATGGGCGGCTGACTGTGACGCCTGTTCAGCTTAGTTTGTGATACCTGCCCGCACTTGAGGAAATGCCGGCACAGATTCGCCAAATTACAGATAATCTGCCCAATGTAAACATTTGGTGGCTTCACTGAATGCTCACTCGGTGATAATGAGGTTGTCCACACTATGGCACCAGCTCTGAATATGCAAAGTTGCTGGCCAAGGTTGGCTCAGACAAGAAGCCAACGTTGAATGGACACGTCGTCAACAGGTGTCTTACCAGATCTAACACACCACCTTTGATGTTCTTCTTCTACGTCACTTCTGCAAGGGAGCGACTAACACCAGAAAGACTCTTCACGAATCAAGTGAGGGGCATCTTAACGGTCAGGCCGATGTTAGCCCTGCATACAGAAACCGCCCCTGGGCTACCAAACTTGTTTTTGTTTCCGTCATTACCAGTTCTGTCTGGTGATAAATGGACATGGCAATTACCAAATGGGTATCCTTCCTGACTGCAGATATGTTTGCGAGATACTCCGCCGGAAATATTGTGGCCTGCATATAGCCCCCAAGCATGGAGCTTTACCACCAGACAACGGACAACCTCGGCCGAGGCATAAGAGAGGATTTCCTCAGGTCAAAGGAATGACGAAATAACCACACAACAAGAAGCCATATATTGTCAAATAAGATAAGGGGTCGTCAAAAGTGTCAGTTCTGTGGCCCAGCGAGGCCGAACCTGGTGTCTCGGGCCCCACTGCCAAGATATTAAATCCTTAAAAGTGGGCCTCATTGACTATTCTGACATGTATCTCCAACTCGTATGAAGATCAGTCGAGACTTGGGCACCGCTTTACTGGCTCTTGATCACATGAGCACAACAGACAGGCGAGATCTCACCACACATGTATATCTTATAAGGTGTCACGATTTATCTCCTTTCTTGCGGCGAGAGACTCGGTAATCGAGCGGGATACAGACGATGGTGGGCCACCTCAGCCCTGTTGGTCGGGACGAGGGAACTGTGTCACCCGTGCCACCTCCAGGGCTGCTGACTCCCAAGAAGTTCAGACGACCCAAAAGACGACTCCTTTTCCTGGGACGGCGACTGATGGAGTTGTCATCACCATCAATGCTGTTTTGTTGTTTCTGTTCCACCAAGTGCGAGAAGGGCCCGTGCGGCACTCGGAAGGAAGTGGTGGGATGATGTGCATTTATGCGTGATAGCGAGAGCCAGCCCATTGATATGTCGACTTTTCGAGCCATGACGACACCACTTCAGATGGCTACGAGGTGATGTAAACAGGAACGGAGGTTAAAGGACGGTGAATCCACTGCAAAACGTCTGTGAGCTCCGGGCCTGGACCGGATCGTCAACGCTCAGACTTTGGGGGGGGGTCGTCGGTAAGAAAGATGCCGGAGGGGCAATGAAACATCAACTTGGGCTGGGGGGTTGACGGATGGTCTGTTGGAACGACTTTGTCAGCGGGCATACTACGTAAACATCATCAGCCTTGCTCAAATGGAATATGACGGGTTGAGGTGAGGTGCAACTGCGAGTAGCCGTGTCGGCACTGCATCATCTTGGATGGCGGCTGATGACGCCACAGCATCCAATATTGTCCTGCGGTGGAAGATGCCAAATGTCAGGCGCGAGCATGAGCATGAAACGAAATGCGTCTGGAGGTTTGTCGAGGGAGCGAGAGCAACTCGAGGGAAACAAGAAGCTGGGGACTTGTCTCATGGCGATGTCGAGAATGCGACGTTGGCGTGCCATCTGAACAATGTCTGGCCAATGTTTCTTTTCAGCAAGCAACAAACGGCGGACTCGGTGATGATGTTGTTGTGAAAAGACCAGAAAAACCCCCTTTTCCAGAATGATAGCAGCGACGTACCGTGGGACCTCGAGACTATCAGGCTGAACGGTGAAACAATGGGGTCGGCCGTTAAGGCAACGGCGGACGGTACCAAATCACACAACACGAACCGAACTTTGAGATGAGGGGCATTTTCATTTGAAAAAAGTCCAACCAATCACACGTCGCCGTGGACTCGGTGGGGCATGTTGCCGTGTGGGCTGCTGGCATCGTCCCTGCACCGTACCAACGCCCCTGCGTTGCTTTCTGGGAACCGCTTTTCAGTGGGAGGGCAGGCAATGGCGAGGCGCCGAGAGAGGCACAGAAGAGACAGAGACACAGGAAGAGCAGCAAGGCCAGGGGGGAGGCAGTCTCCGGTAATTGATTGATTCTCTCTGACTGGATTCGACAGAAAACAAATAGAATACTAAAAAGACAAAAGGGAACCGTCGCCCTGGGTCCTGGGTTGTTGCTGTGTTGGGCTGAGAAACGCCCGAGCGTCCCCCTCGTCACCCGCCCCAGTTTGTCTGTTCCAACATGACATCTCCAACATTGACATTTTGTTTTTCTTGATGGTTTATTTGCTGCTGCACACGAGAGAAACATACCGTCATGTGTCAGGCAATTCCAACGTTCGTCCACCCACCACCACCTGCACCAACGACGACGACGCCACCAGCGACACCATCGTGACCGTGACACCCGCCATCTTGTCCTCCATACCATCCACATCAGAATTCAGAAAACAGAGGCAGAGTTAGCAGAGTCACCCCTGGTAACTAACTGGCACCGGCTCTGCAAGATTGGACGCTTATTTGGTCGGTGGGGAAATATCGATTGGAAAAGTCACGAATTGGGCTACCCCAGTGAACCCCAGCGCTCCCAGCGCTCCCAGCGCTCCCCAGCGCCCATCGCGTCGGCCACGCCCACCAACGGCAGCCCGAGGATCAATCATACCATACACATCCTCCCAGTGTTCCCCCCTGCGCGCTGCACACCACCGCCCCCATTCGCTCGACGCCCAGTCGCACCCCAACCCGACTCTGTCTCGGCTTCCCCTGGGACGACTCCTTAGCTGCTTGGGAGTACAGAGAGAGTGAGGGAGCAGGCAGACCATGTCCCCATCGAATCCGTCCTCCTCCTCCTCCTCCTCCCACCACCACTCCCACAAACAAAACGACTCGATCAACTCGCTCTCGTCGCTGTCGCCACGCACCCGGCTGGACAGCCGAGACCACCGATACAATAGCAGAGCCCCTGTCAATAGTAACAACCCTCCCCCCCAAGTCACACACAACAAGCGTCGCTCTTCCACCTACACCACCTTCCCTCCCGCCGCGTCGATCAAGCCGAACCCTCCACGAAGCTCTTCGCTTTTTCCTGGACCGGCAGCCACAGGATCAGGATCAGGATCAGGATCACCAACTCGAGCAACAGCGCATGCGCCTCCCGTCTTCCGCGACGTCGTGTTCAATGACCCTCAGCCCACGGGCACCCCTGCCAGCAGAAACGAACCCCAAACAGTCCACAAGAGGGGCCATTCTCGGTCGAGTAGCGCTGGACTGAGCGACGGGTTTCGCAACCTCAATCGGTGGTCAGCGTCCACAGCATCCAGTCGTGCATCGAACTTTGCCGGCTTCACCAAGCGGGTAAGCACCGAATTTCTCGGCGGTGCCTTTGGAAAGAGCAGGCCGTCGACAGCGGACGAGTCTCCACGCTCGGGAGCCACCCGCACTGCAAGCCGGCCCCGCAGCGACTCCCCCGTACCAGCGCCGATCCCGCCCTTGGAGACATTGCCGCCCATTCTGACCGGGCCGTCGCTGGAGGACGAGGTCTTTGAGTCTGATGTGCTGACACAGTCTTCTGTTGCGCCAATTGAACCGCCGCGACGACGCATTGCGAGACCGGCCGAAGAAATTGACCCTGACTGGGATGGTACACCGCAGCTTTCCGAGCAAGAGTCAGGATCGTCGCTGCAGCGGCTAGGGCCCGCGATCACGCTGCGCCCAGCTGATCCCATCACGCCGACCGATACTACCGTTATGACCATGCCCTACACACAAAATGGGCAGCCCAGGGGCCACTCGCGAAACCGCTCGACCGGGGCCAAGGGGAGCGTAGACACGAATGGGTCCTCGAGGAGTCGGGAGAAGGAGAGAGAAAGAGAGAAAGAAAGGGAGCGAGAGAGAGCGGGGAAGCCACCGTCCCAAAAGGCCATGCTGTCGAGAGCGTTGCAAAAGGCGAACACGGCTGTGCAGCTTGACAACGTCCAGAATTTCGAAGCTGCAAGACGGGCATACGCCGAGGCGTGTACCGTGCTCCAACAGGTGCTGATGCGAACGAATGGCGAGGAGGATAGGAGGAAGCTGGATGCCATCGTGAGTTCTGAAATCCCCAGTCGTGGCCCCGTTTGACTCTTGAGCCGATGTCACGGGGCTTGCAGACAGCCAAACAGCATTGCTCACACATGTACCCTTTGTCCGATAGCACCAAACCTACACAAACCGAATACAAGAGTTGGACGAACAGCTGGCCGACATTGAACCGGAGGGCAAGGAGCTACCTGAACGACCGGAGAGCTACGAATTCCACGAGCCCATATACCACGCGCAGGTCAACGGCAGAGAGAGGGAGTACGAGAGAGAGCCGACGTCTGCAGTATCGAGACACGCGCCCAGACCAAGCTTCACTCCGCGGGCGCCACCGCCCAACTTATCCGTGGACACGTCGAGAGCCGGCCCCCAGAACGGCACGACAAGCTACCTTACCGAGCAGTATTCTCTGCAGTCTGCTTTTTCGAGAGCCAGGACGGGCAGCGGGACACCGGTCCAGGGGCAATCACAAAATGGATTCATGCCACGTCCGCTGTCGCCTTTGAGGCGACCGTCATCTCCAGCAAACCCCCCGCCTCCACCACCGGACAATGGGCACTCCGACCGCACACAACAACAGCCCGACTATCTCATGTCGGGCGCTCGTCTTGGCGCATATGATGCTCAGGTGGGCCACCAGAGAGTAAACAGCCACGAGTCAGTATCGTGGCTTGATCCGATCGACGAGTCCGAGGCTTCTAGTGTGTCCTCTGTCCATTCGAGATCATCGTCCAAGATTGTTCGAAAACACATCCGAGCTGCGAGCGGAGACACGGAGGCCGAGTTTGATGCCGCGCTGGACGACGCCATCGAGGCCGCGTACGATGATGGCTACGAACCGGAACAAACATATCAAGGTCAAAACCAAGGGTGCGGGGAGGATGGTGGCAGGGCTGATGAGGAACGACGCCAAGCTGAGCTTGCGCAAGACAGAATAAGGGACGAGGAACGAGACGCCTTGGCGCTGGCCACGGAGCGAGAGCAGAGGTTGCGACTGGAGATGCAACGGGAAGATGAGGAATATCGACGGCAGGAAGCGATAGCGGAGGAGTTTTGGGAGGATCACGAGGCCGAAGAAGAAGAACGCATGCTGGATGAGATGACCAGAGGGTACGCCTTGGACCAGTTTTCGTTTGACAATAACCGGACAGGGCCGCCGATACCACGAGAGTCGGATTCGAGCGGGCTGACGAGCCGGACGTGGCACAGCTCCATGGGATCAAACCCACCGCACACGGCCACCACCGTCATGACGCCCATCAGTGACAAGAACGCGGCGCTGCCTCGTCTGCCCGACCCGCCGCCGCCCCCTTCTCACGCATTGCCGCCTCCGCCCCCGCAAACTGCCGGTTCTCAAGGCTCCAACCAGACGGTGCGAAACAGACGACTTTCGGGGCAAAATGCAGCGCAGCTCAAGATCGAGACGTCGAAGCTTGCACCTCCGACCGGTCTTGCCACGGCTTCCTCTGCTGTCCCATCACAACCGAAGTCGGCCGGGAATTACATTGTTCAGCAACGGCAGGCTCTGTCAGCGGGACCCAGCCGTTTGATGGGTGCTTTTTCGTCAAGAGCCACACCGTCTCCCGGTCCCGCGGGGCCGGAAGATGATGATGCCCCGCCGTTGCCCCTGGGTTTCTTCCACGAGCACGAAGCCTCTCGTTCTGCCTCGCCAGCCTTGACGCGCCCGACGCTACGAAGCAACTTCTCGTCGGCGAGCTTGAAGAGCATGAAGTCGCGCAATTTGTCCATTTCGCACATGGACGATGGAGACATGTCGCCCGGGACACCCTCGAGCAACCAGTTCGGCATGGGGGGCTCCAGCACACGCCTACCTTCGATCCCAGCGCTCCCCGAGGCGTACAAGGACCGAGCCAACAGCACTGCTGCTGGGGGGATGCATCTGTTGGACAGCAACCTTCACAGCTTTGACGCGCCTGGGTCGCCGAACCCTTTGTTGCCCGATGCTCCTGTCGCGCTGGAGCCGTGTCCGAATGATACCCTGCTGAGACCGTTTTGGCTGATGAGGTGTTTGTATCAGACGCTGTGCCATCCGCGGGGAGGGTACGTGAGCAATAAGCTTTTCGTGCCGAGGGGTGTCTGGCAGATGAAGGGGGTCAAGCTGAAGAACGTGGAGGACAAGATTGCCAATTGTGATCTCTTGACGGCGGCGCTTCAGAAGCTGGCGAGGGTGGACACGTGCGATGCTGACTTGGTGCTGGAGGAGATGCAATCGCTGGAGAATGTGTTGGAGCAAGTCCAGGCTGCGCTGTCGAGGAAGCTGGGGAGTGAGGTTGGTGTTCAGGGGAGCGGGACCATGTTCAAGGACGCGAGCGGGATGGAGGCGGAGGCGGCGTCGATGCCTAGGTCGGGGAGCGTGGCCGGCAAGGGGAGCAGTTTTTCTTGGAGGAGGCTGAGGAGCAAGAACAGTTCGGCGAATCTGCCTGGGTTGGCGAGTTCGTATGGCGGGAAGGGGGGGAGTGGTGGTGGTGGAGGAGGGGCGAATGCTTCTACTGTTAGCCACGAGTCGACGGTAAAGGATGCGTTGTTGGCGAGCTTGCCCATGACGAGTCATCCCACGAGCAGGCCGGCGAAGAGGGATGTTGGGAATGTGTTGTTTACGGGGCCGAATGCGGGTTACATGAGCTCGTTGGCGAGATTGTTCGATGCTGCGCAGTCGATCGGTGAGTTTTCTTTTGGTCTCAGGGCATGGAAGATGGCTAATGATGATGTTTATACAGATCAGATTGCGCGACAGGTCGACGACCCCGGACTGCGTCACGCCGACAAGACGCAGGTTGGGCTTGAGCTCTGCACCCGGCACGCGGCCGAGTTTTTTGCGTTTTATATCTGCCGCTTTGTGCTGACCGACTTGACGATGCTGTTGGACAAGTTTGTGAAGAGGGGGGCTGAGTGGGTGCTTGTGTAGGATGGCATTAGAGCAATTGCATAGAGGAGGTTGTTTATAGGAAGGGTAGGGTATGGGAGGGAGGAGGGTTCAGGTTACAATGAACGGAAGGAGGGATTGTCAGTCAGCCAGTCAGCCGGCGGACAAAGGGTCAGATCTAGAAAAAGACCTGTATATAATTTTATACCACTTCTCTTGTCCCCTGGTGGGGAGTTTGTTTTTTCACGTTTTTTGAACCTTCTGAACCCTGAATTTGAGACCCTTGATTTGATGATGGACTAGTTGTGGCTGATAAGATAAGGGGAATTTGGAGAAATTTAGCGGGACGGTCCATCTTGGCGCGCGCGTTGCTCCGCACCTTTTGACTGCAACACCATCCCACTATAACGACAGCGACGACAAAAACACGGCGCTTTCGACGATATCTGCTCGACAGATTCCAATCTTTGCGGGTCAGGTTCAACAGTACCAAGAGAATCGACCAGAACAATTGAATGAGGTGCACATGCCCCGGTGGTCTCTTCAGCAGCCGAATGCGAATGCGACCATGGCTGGTGCAGCGGCAATGTCTGTCGGCCTCGAGGCCGGCAGCTCTTGGAGGTAGCCTCTGCCTTCGAACTCTTTCTTCCCTCTCCCCGACGACGACGACGACGACGACGACGACGACGACCCGACCGATAACGACGAGAATATCCTCCCTTCCTCCATCTCGACAACCTCTCCTCCCGCCACCAATACCCCAACTCCGCCGGGCGGCATCCTCAACCCCCACAACCAAAGACGGCCCCCTAGAACGAAAATCTGCCTCCCTCGAGGAGCGGATCTCCAAAATCCCCATATCCCGCTATCGCAATTTCTGCATCGTCGCGCACATCGACCACGGGAAATCAACACTTTCCGACCGCCTGCTCGAACACACGGGCACCATCCTCCCTGGTCAAGACAACAAACAGGTCCTGGATAAACTCGATGTTGAGAGGGAAAGGGGGATAACGGTAAAGGCGCAGACGTGTACGATGATATGGAACTACCCCAAGGATGGCCAGGATTATTTGCTCCATCTAGTTGACACACCCGGGCATGTTGATTTCAGGGCGGAGGTTACGAGGAGTTATGCCAGCTGTGGGGGAGCGATCTTGCTCGTGGACGCCAGTCAGGGGGTTCAAGCCCAAACGGTGGCGAACTTTTATTTGGCGTTTGCCCAGGGGCTGAGTCTAGTGCCGGTGGTCAACAAAGTCGATCTGCCCACTGCTGATGTGGACAGGGCGTTGGGGCAGATGGAAGAGGTGTTTGAGTTGGATTGCAAGGATGCTGTGAAAGTCAGCGCGAAGACGGGGAAGGGGGTGGGGGATATCCTACCGGCTGTGGTGGAGAGGGTGAGGGCGCCCGAGGGGGATTTGGACAAGCCGCTGAGGATGTTGTTGGTGGATAGCTGGTATGACACCTTTCGGGGGGTGGTGCTTCTGGTGAGGGTGTTTGACGGGACGGTGAGGGCGGGGGATCGGCTGGTTAGTTTTGCGACGGGGAATGAGTATGCTGTTGGGGAGGTGGGCATACAGTATCCTGGGGCGGTGCCGCAGAGGTGCCTGAGGGCGGGACAGGTGGGGTATGTGTTTTTTAATCCGGGCATGAAGAGGATACAAGACGCGAAAATAGGGGATACGTTTACTGTCAAAGGGAAAGAAAAGGAGGTGGAGGCGTATCCTGGGTTTGAGGAGCCGAAGCCGATGGTTTTTGTGGCGGCTTTTCCGACGGATCAGGGGGATTACGAGAAGTTGAAGGATAGCATCGGGCAACTGGTGCTGAATGACAGGAGTATCACTCTGCAAAAGGACCATTCCGACGCGCTGGGGGCGGGGTGGAGGTTGGGGTTTTTGGGGAGCTTGCACTGTAGCGTTTTTCAGGACCGGTTGAGGGGGGAGTACGGGAGTGATATCATTATTACGGAGCCGGCGGTGCCGGTCAGGATTGTCTGGAGTGATGGGAAGGAGGAGATCATCACCAACCCGGCTGAGTTTCCGGATGGGGAGGATCACAGGCTGAAAAGGGCGACGCTGTATGAGCCGGTTGTGGCGGCGACGATCACGCTGCCGGAGGAGTACTTGGGGCGGGTGATGGAGCTTTGTGAGAGCGTGAGGGGGGTGCAGAAGAGCGTCGAGTTTTTCAATGCCACGCAGGTCATTCTCAAGTATGAGTTGCCGACGGCGAGTTTGGTGGATGACCTGTTTGGCAAGTTGAAGGGGGCCACGAAGGGGTATGCGACGCTGGATTATGAGGATGCGGGGTGGAGGGAGAGCAACCTGGTGAAGCTGAACTTGCTCGTGAACAAGGAGCCGGTGGATGCTATCGCGAGGGTGGTGCACAGCAGCCAGGTGGAGAGGTTGGGGAGGCAGTGGGTGACCAAGTTCAAGGAGCACGTTGACAGGCAGATGTTTGGTAGGTCTTGTTTTGTCTTTTGGCTCCAGATGGAGTGCTAACAACAAAACTTGCAGAGGTCATCATCCAAGCCGCGGCAGGCAGGAGAGTCGTCGCCAGAGAGACGCTCAAACCCTTCAGAAAAGACGTCTTGGCCAAGCTGCACGCCAGCGACATTGGCCGAAGAGAAAACTGCTCGACAAGCAAAAGGCCGGTCGCAAGAGGTTACGAGCTGTGGGCAACGTCGTGATTGACCAATCGGCGTTCCAGAAGTTTTTGACAAAGTGAGCTTTTGTGCACCCTGCATCATGAGAAATGTAACATATTGTGCATATTACCACAGCGAACGAAAGGCACATGATGATGTTTATGTTATGCTTTTCGATTCATCCTCGGTGTCATCATAGTCGGGCAAGTCGTCTACGGCAATATCCCTTGTCATGCTCATTCTTTTCGGAAGGACCATTGTTTCCTTCTGTCCCTTACTCTGCTCACCCTCTTTTTCAGTCTGTCCGTCCTCGGGATCAGTCTCCCCATCGTTGTTAACCACCACCCCCTTTACCTCTCCCTCAGCCGCCCCAGGCGGGGAAATGTTTCTCACCCTCGCCTGGAGAACGCTCCCCAGCCGGGTTTATCCCGAACATCACCCCCAACTCCCCCTCCCACGGCGCCGCCTCGGTGGAAGGATCTGGGGTGGGGTAGAGGGTGGGGTCGAGCTGGGTGATGAGGCGGAGGGGGATGGTGAGGTTCAGGGTGTGGGTTGATTGGAGGTGGGTTAGGGTTAGGAGGGCGGACATGGGTTTGATATTGGGTTGATGGGTGAGATGGTATGGTGGGTGACAGGGGTGGCAGAAGAAAAGGGTAGGTAAGGGACTGGGTGGA